GGAGCAGCGGGAGCGTGTCTGGAGCCTGCTGCGCGGCCTGCTGGAGACCTACAGCCGCCTGCGGGAGGAGGACCAGAGCTTTGCGGTGGAGGTACCGTGTGCTGGGGTGTCCGTCGCCTTGGGGTGTCCCAAGGGTGTGCTGCTGCATGGAGTCTTGGGATGTGGGGAACAGCTTTTGGCCAGGGACTTCGAGGGAGCTCCCTGGAGCAGTGGAAGCTTCGACCTGACCCCAGGGCTGTGTGGCTGGGTCTGGGGGGCTAAGCAGCTTTCCCCCCTCCCTGCATCCCAGGCCATGGAACGGCTGATCCACCCTCAGCTGTGCGAGCAGTGCATCGAGTTCCTGGAGCAGCAGGTGGTGCAGTACATCAACTCCAGCCCTGAGCGTGGTGGGGATGAGGTGTGTCATGCCTTCCTCCTGGTGCACACCAAGCTGCTGGCCTTCTACTCCAGGTGAGTCCGGCCCCACCACTCTCCCCTGGGCAGCTGCTCTCCCTCCCAGTTCATCCTTCCCTTCTCTGTTCTGCAGCCGCAACACCAGTTCCATCCGCCCCGCTGACCTGCTCATCCTCATCCTCCTAGTGCAGGACCTGTACCCCAGCCAGAGCATCGAGGAGGAGCTCAGCCCCCAGGTGCTCCAGAGCAGGGTGTGGGACACAGTGGGTCGGGATGCCCCCATGAGGTGATGTCTTGGGAGAGCTTAAATTTTTCCCCCCTGTGGAAGCCCACAGCAGAGAAGGTGCTCCCCCAGGGACCCAAGAGAAGTGAGAGCATTCCAGTGAGCAGCCCTGGCTCCCATGGAGCTGCAGAGAAGGACTCTGATGACCAGGTGAGTCCCTGGGATGGGGACCTGCAGGCTGGGCTGTCTGCATCACTCCCATTGCTGACCCAGCCATTCCCACTGGCAGGACACAGATGATCTCTCTGTCCCTGAGGTCTACTACACTCCTGAGCCTTCTCCAGGCAGGCACAGCACAGGTGAGTGCCCAGCAGGGTAGCAGCCCCCTCCCTGCATGTGGGGGCGGCAGGGAGAGCAACCTGCCATGCTCCCTGCAGGCAGTGAGAGCTGGTCAGAGGGCACTGAGATGCTGAGCACCGGGGAGGTGGATGCTGCAGATGTCCAGGTGAGCAAGGGGTCCTGCAGTCCCTCCTGGCCTGTCCTGGTGCTCTTGTGGTCCCTGTTCCTTGTCACTTGTCACACAGAGCTGTGTGCTGCACTGTGGGTGCCCCCGGCTCTAGGGTTAGGGTGATGCCCTGTGTCTGCCACATTGCATAACTGTGACACCGCTGACCACCTCTGAGGCACTGCTTACAGTCTCTGTGTCCATAAGTGTCAGCGTGGAGGGGCTGGGGCTCGCTCAGAGCAGTCTGGTGTCTTCCTCTGCTGCCTCTGGGCTTTCTGGGCTGCTTCCTTGACAAATGCCACAGAGCCTCACACACTCTGTGCAAGCAACTGGGAGCCTCGACAGAAGGCATTTGCAGCCTGTCTTTGCAAGCAGCTTACCCACTACTTGCTGCTCTTTTGGGGCCCCTGGGCACTTTGCTCACTGCTGATCTTTTGTCACGTGGTCTCTCCAGCTCCCTTGGTAAAGTCATGCCTGTTTGCAGCTTTCAGGGCATTGCTGTGGGCTGTCCCATCTCTTCAGGGGCTGAGCATCTCCTTTCTCTCCCTAGATGGCGGAGGACTTGCTCCAGACCTTGGGGCCTCTGGTCCCTGAAGCTTCAAACCCCAGGAGGATCTTCCTGGATGCCAACCTGCGGGAAGGTTACTGCCCCTTGCTGCCACACACCATGCACTGCCTCCCGCTCTGGCCGGGCATCTCCCTCATCCTCCTGACCAAGGTGAGCTCACTCCAAGGTGAGGGATGTGACACTGTGCTGGGTCCTGGCTCACCCATATATCCCTTCCCCAGCAGGGCCCGATGACCCAGGTGGCCATCACCTTGTACCAGCTGCTGGATGGTTTCTTGGTGCTGGAGAAGAAGCTGGAAGAGGGGCTAGAGGCAGGAGCCCCACGCTCCTACACATTTGTGCCTGAGTTGCGGCAACGCATGGACAAGTTTGTGAAGAAGCTGAGCGGGCAGGACATCCAGGTGGGAGTGGGAATGCGAGGGCCCCATCCTGCTGTCTCCACTGCCTGATGCTGAGCCTGGTCTCTCTCTAGTTGCAGAACACCTGGGTAGACTTCAAAAATAAGATGTTTTCCCGGACCGAGCCTGGAAACTCCCTGGAGTGAGTATGGGATAGGTAGAGAAAGTCTCCAGGGCAGGCTGGGGGCAGCGTGGCTGTCCCTGCAGTGCTGGGGACCCAGGGGCCAAACTCAGCAGCATCCGTGTCTTCCGGCTCAGGCTGCTGCAGGCAGTGTCCAACATGAAGCGGCAGCTCTGCTCTGTGTACCGCCAGCTCTTCCTGACTTCTGCCAGCCACAGCCTGTCCCAGGGGCTGCGGGACCGTGCCCAGAAGCTGATGAAGTGAGTGCATGGGGTGGCCAGCATCCCCAGGGGACTGCCCCGCACCCAGCTCTGCTGGGGCTTGGTGGGTCCTGGCCTCCCACTGTGCTTCCGCTTGGCAGGGAGAAGCTGCTGGACTGGCGCGACTTTCTGCTGGTGAAGAGCAGGCGCAATATCACCATGGTGTCATACCCATCCCTGCGGCTGGGAGCCCAGCCCGGCGAGGAGGGGTCCCCAGGGGGGTAGCAGAGGTGGGAGTGTGACAATGTACCCCCATCAGTGGGCTCGAGGTGGGGAGCGTGGTGGGTGAAGGGGCTGTCCTGGGAGGGCACCAAAGTTATTGGACACCCTTAACCTACCCCACGTACCTGGAGGACTTTCCTGGCCTGGTGCACTTCATCTATGTGGACCGCACGTCTGGGCAGATGATGGCACCATCGCTCAGCATCACAGAGAAGTCCAGCTCAGAGCTGGGCAAGGGCCCCCTGGCCACCTTTATCAAGAGGAAGGTACTGCTTGTGGGGCTAAGGGTGGGATGGGGGACCCCAGGAGGCGGTGATGGTTGGAGGGGTTTCTGCTCAGGTTTCAGGTGCCCCTTGTCCCCCAGGTCTGGTCCCTAATCACACTGGCCCGGCGATACCTACAGAAGGGCTACACGACGCTCATGCTGCAGGATGGCGACTACTGCTGCTCCTACTTCCTCTGGTTTGAGAATGAGCTGGTATGTGGGGTCAGATAAGGGCTGAGCCTCTCTTCCCCAGTACCTTCTCAGGGCAGGACTATAGGCACAGTTGGCTTCAGCTCTTTGGCAGTCTCTTGCCTGCTCCTGCCCTCTCCTGTCATCTTTCCCAAGGGCTACAAGCTGGAGGTGATGGAGGTGCCAGTTCTCTCTGATGATTCTGCTCCCATTGGGATGCTGGCAGGAGACTACTACAGGTGAGCTGTCCCCAGCCATGTTGCTTGGCACCAGGGCCTGGGGCTGTTTAGTGATGCTGTCCGCACTGGGATGTCACTGCAGGATGGTACCAGTGCTGTGGTGTCACCAGGCTTGCACCAGCCAATCTCCCCAGCCTGGTGTGGGTGTCCTGTCAGTAGACGGGTGCTGTGTCCTTGCCTTCCTTTCTAGGGGGAAGGTGGTTAAAAAGGGGGTACTAGTCTGCACTGTACCTGCTGAGCCCCCCATCTTCTCTCCAGGAAGCTGCTGCGTTACTATAGCAAGAACCACCAGGCAGAAGTGGTAAAGTGCTATGAGCTGCTGACCGTGCACCTCGGCATCATCCCCTCTGAGCTCGTGGTCCAGCAGGCCTGCGACTTGGCCCGGCGCCTCTGGGAGCCCTCCCGCATCCCCCTGCTCTGAGCTGCCTCCAGCCACCTCGGGGCCAGGATTAAAGCAGGGCTGTGGGTGTTCCCAATGCATGGACTGGTTTCTCCGTGTCTGTGCTGTCAGCTGTACCTGTAGGCAGCCTTCCCATCCTCCAGCCCTGCTCCCCATGGGCTTCGCTGGCACCCAGCAGCCTTCGGGGACGGGTGGAGAGTGGGGCTGAGAGGTTGTTGTCAAATCACCATCTTGCTGAAAAGTGTGTTTCCAAAGAAGGATTTATAGCACTAGCTTGGCATTGCTGACAGGCTTTGGCTAGAGAAGAAAACAGCGTAGCCAAACTTGCCCATGGTGCGCCCCCCTCTCCTCTCTCCCCAGATGTGGGGTGCAGGGCCCTCAAAGGCTTGGGCAGGGTTGGGGAGGTGCAGACCTGGGCTCCCAGGCACCGCTCGGCCGTGGAGACAAGCCCAGCTATGAAGAGGGGCTGAGGCAGCTCATGTGTTTCACAGGTGCCGCTGGGCTCAGTACACATGCAAACCCATTGGGCACATCTAGGGATGGGGTCAGCCCCAAGGGACTCTGGCAGCAGCTGCCCTTTGTCACTCCATGCTGCTCACTAGGGCTGGGTACAGCAGTTCAGGGAGCACTGGACCATGTCAGGGCCTTTGCCCCATCCTGCTGGGCAGGAATTTGCCCTGCTGAGCAACAGCACTGGGTTGGGGCCAGGCACACCCCCAAGCTGCCCCTTTTCCCACTGCTCTCAGTGGGGCTTGTGTTTTAGACTTACCTGCTCGAGGGGGGCTAAGTTCCCCTTATCCTGCAGTGCTTGTTGGCCCATCACACCAGATCACACCAGACACACGTCCCTGGGTTCTTCCTGGAGCACATCAGGGGATGGGGGGCTCTCAGGCCCCCGCCTCCCTGCCCAGCACCTTCCTGGGTATAGACTGGGAAAGGTGCTGGGCAGTCTTCCCCAGTCTGTAAGGACCACCTTCCATCCTGCTGAGCACCAGGCAGGATCCAACCCTGTTACCCTCTCAATGCCGGGGCTGGTCTGCAGCCCCCCTGCACGCCCTCAGCAAATCTCTGCCAGGATCAGCGCCTTGTCACAGGCAGCACCGGCGGGGCAGTGTTCAGTGCGTGTCCCTGTCCTGAGCAGGCTCCCGCAAGCCCTGGCACACAGTGTCCGCCCCTGAGTGTTCCCCCCCACACACACCCCCCGCATGCCCGGAAGCCCTGGGAGAAGTTCCGCTGTGGAAGCAAAGTCCAGGCTGCCCGCCGCAGCCGTGGCCGGGCGCTCGCTGGGCGATGGCAGGCGGGCACTGGGCAGGAGCGGGCAGGGCCTGCGCTGCCCGCTGGCTGCGGGGCTGGCTCCTTGCCCCAGCGCCGCCGGGAGCGCGGCGGGCCCATGCTGGGGCTGCAGAGCGGCTGCAGAGGGAGTACGACGTGGTGGTGATCGGGGCAGGTAATGCTGGGGGAGGGAGCCAGCGCTGGGCTGTGCGGAGCCGGTGGGGACGCCAAGCCGCCCTCCCCTCAGGGAGACAGGAGGGTAATGGCCGGATGGGGACCACAGCGGCGCAGGGCACCCTGCAGAGCCCTAGCACGCTCCTTGTGCCAGGGAGGACGCTTGGGTCTGGTACGGCCAGGCACATGTTGCATCCCCGCAGTGCGCATCTGCCTTGAGCAGCTGTCCCCTACCCTTGCACCATTAGGGCTAGGGCTAAAGGGAGAGGGGAGGATGCTGCTTGTCACCTACATCCACATGTCCAGAGCCCCATTATTTGAGTGGTTGTGGCAGCCTCGTGCCCCAGGCATGGCAGGGTGCCCTGTGCATGAGACCACCCCAACACTGGGCTCACCTCACCTCATTCTCTCCTTGCAGGGCACAATGGGCTGGTGGCAGTGAGTACCAAGAGCACAGTGGTGCTGTCTCTTCTCCATCCCTGGGCAAAGTGGAGGAGCAGGGAGGGTGTTGGTTGCAGTGTCCATGGCACTGGGGGCTCCCACAGGGCTGTGGGAAGCAGGGCCATCCCTGGTGAGAGGATGCTGGGGATGACAAGGACATATCCCACCTGGAGGGATGGGCAGTGTGATGCCGTGTTCCCTGCAGGCTGCCTACCTGCAGCGGGCAGGGCTGCGCACGGCTGTGCTGGAGAAACGCCATGTGCTGGGCGGTGCGGCTGTCACAGAGGAGATTGTGCCAGGTACCCCTGTGTATCCCCTGTCCCCACACCCCTGGCCAGCCCTGCACATGGGCACCCCCCACTGCCACACAACTTTCAGGCTTCAAGTTCTCCCGGGCATCGTACCTGCTCAGCCTGCTGCGGCCACAGATCTACACCGAGCTGGAGCTGCAGGTACCGGCACCCATCCCTCGCTGGCTGCTGGCCCCTCCTGGCACACTGACAGGGTGAGCCCGCTGCCGGGCTGTCCCAGCAGCATGGGTCCTGCCATCCCTGTCTTGCAGCGGCATGGTCTGAGGGTGCTCCCACGGGACCCCTACTCCTTCACCCCGCTGCTGGAGGATGGGAGCCCCCCTCGTTCCCTCCTGCTGGGAAACAACAGGGCCCAGACCCAGCAGCAGATCGCTCAGTTCTCCCAGAAGGATGCCCAGGTACTACTTGGGGGCAGGCACCCAGTATGGCAAAGCCTCTGAAGGGGCTGCCCTGCCCATGGAGCAGCAGCGTATCCATCGCACCCAGCATGGCGCGGTCCCCATAGTCTCCCTCTATCCCCTTTCAGGCTTATCCTGAATATGAGGCGTTCATGGAGAGTTTAGTGTCAGCCCTTGACCCGCTGCTGGATGCTGCCCCAGTGGATACAGCTGCCTTGGGGCAGGGTTCCCTGCTCCAGCGGCTTAGTGCTCTGCGATCCCTGTGGCCCCTGCTGAGGGCAGGTACCTCTGGGGTGCTGGTAGATGCCGATGGCTGCTCTTCCCCAGGGCACAGGCTCCTCAGGAGCCCCAGCTGGGGGCTTGGTCCTGCTGCCTGACCCCCAGACCCAGCTGGGCATGAGCAGCTTGCCCTGGCACAGCCATGTAGGTCTCACACCACCTCTCACCCCCAGGGCTGGCACTGGGGCGGCAGCTGCCCCGCTATTACGAGGTACTCACAGCTCCTATCTCCAAGGTGAGTGCTGGCAGTGGCAGTGTGGAGCCACCAGCTGCCTCGCTGCCTGCCTGCAAGGGTGCTGTGGAGCCCCCAGCCCCAAACCTGATGCTCTCTTTTATTCCTGGCCCAGATCCTGGATCAGTGGTTTGAGTCGGAGCCCTTGAAGGCAACTCTGGCTACTGATGCGGTGATTGGAGCCATGGCTAGCCCCCACACCCCAGGCAGTGGGTGAGGGTCCTTTCCCCCTGGGTGGCTGCGTTGTCCCCTCATGTCATCCCGTGCCAGCAGCTGCTTGGCTCTGCTGCAGCCCAGTACCCTATTCCCTGCCTAGCTGCCTGTCCCTCCCATTGCCTGCTCAGCTTTGCCTGGATGGCTCAGGGGTTGGGGCTGGGCAAGGGGCTGCTCCCCATCCCTGCTATATGGCCCTCCTAAGTGGTCCTCACCAGCCCCTTTGCTGTTTGAACACCTCTGTCCCCAGGTCAGGTCAAGTCCTGACCAGTGGGTGCTGCCTGTAACTGAGCTGACATCCCGTAAGCTGGCATGGTCCCATCTGTGGGGGCTGTGGCACCATCCTCACTGTGCCCAGGCAGGGGACAGACCTGTCACGTTGACTGGTGGCTGACCTGGGGTCCTGCCACCACAGGTACGTGCTCTTGCACCATGTGATGGGCGAGCTGGAGGGACGGCGGGGGGCCTGGGGCTACGTGTCCGGTGGGATGGGAGCCCTGTCCCACGCCATTGCCCATGCAGCAGCTGCCAGGGGAGCCCACATTTTTGCTGAGAAGGTACGGGGCGCCTGGGGGGGCAGCCTGCAGGCACTGGGGATGCTCTTGGTGAAGTCCTGTCCCCTCTGCCTGCCCAGGCCGTGTCCCATGTGCTGCTGGGCAGGGACGGGCAGGCGCAGGGTGTTGTGCTGCAGGATGGGACGGAGGTGAGGAGCAAACTGGTGCTGTCCAATGCCTCCCCTCAAATCACCTTCCTGGAGCTCATCCCCCAGGTACAGGGTGCAGGGAGCTGGTGGGGGCTTGGCATGGCAGTGTCCCCTAGCCACACCACCCCTCACGACCAGCCTCTGCACCGGCATCTCCCACCCCAGGAGCAGCTGCCCAAGGATTTTGTCCAGCGGATCCAGCAGGTTGACACGCGCTCCCCGGTCACCAAGATCAATGGTAGGTACCGGCAGGGCCACCTCTGCCGCTGTCCCTGCTGGAGGGACACTGGCTACAGGCTCAGCAAGAGGCTGCACCCCACTTCCCCATTCCCACCACCCATTCCCAGTGGCGGTGGATCGGCTGCCCAGCTTCCTGGCTGCCCCCAATGCCCGTGACGGCCAGCCCCTGCCCCACCACCAGTGCTCCATCCATCTCAACTGTGAAGGCACCCACCTCCTGCACCAGGCCTTCACTGAGGCCACCCATGGGCACCCCTCCAGCAGGTAGGAGACCACACCAGCACACCATGCTGCACCAGGGAAGGGGCAGCACGGGCACAACGGGTGGTGCTGAGGAAGAGGTTTGGGGTGGCTGGGTCTCCTGCCTGCCTGGCTCATGTCCTGCTCCCTCAGGCCCATGATCGAGCTCTGCATCCCCTCAGCGCTGGATTCAGGGCTGGCCCCACAGGGCTGCCATGTTGTGTCCCTCTTCACCCAGTACACCCCCTTTGTGCTGGCAGGTGGGCAGCACTGGGATGAGCAGGCCAAAAATGCATATGCGGACACAGGTATGTAATGCATACATGGACCCAGGTAACAGCAGCAGTGCTGGTCCCTTCCTGGGGTTAGAGCTGCCCTGGAGCTGCTCAGGGGCTCACTACCATGCCCGTGCCCACCCCTCCATCCCTTTCTAGTGTTTGACTGCATCGAAGCCTATGCCCCAGGGTTCAAGGCATCAGTCATTGGCAGAGACATCTTGACACCACCTGACCTGGAGAGGATCTTTGGGCTGCCTGGGGGGGTAGGCACCGTGCTGGCTTAGCTCTGAGCATCACTCTGGTGCCTGTTCCAGTGCGCTCACAGCCCTGGGCTGGGCATAGCCAGCTCACATAGAGCTCTCCTTGCAGAACATCTTCCATGGAGGGATGTCTCTGGACCAGCTGTACTTTGCCCGGCCAGCACCATCCTACTCAGGCTACCGGTCTCCAGTTCCCGGCTTGTATCTGTGTGGAAGTGGAGCCCATCCTGGTGAGCAGTGCTGGGAGCCGGGACCCTACTGGGGAGCTGCAGAAGGGGGATGGGGATGTGTGGAAGAGATGCAAGGGCATCATGGTGGGGGGAGTGTGTCCATTGCTCTCTCTGCACTCTCAGGGGCAGGGAGATTGGGCAGCTCTGCTGGTGCAGCCCTGCACCCCATCTCCTGAGTCTGGAGCTGCCTACCACTGCCCATTTCTGCTCTTTGCAGGAGGAGGAGTGATGGGAGCTGCAGGACGCAATGCTGCCCATGTGGCACTCCAGGACTTTAAGCACCTGTGATGGCAGTGATGACACCAGCTTCACCTATACAGGGCTGTGGCTGCAGTGAGCCATGTTGATCCCATGAGGGGCCCTGCCCATCCCCAACTTGCTTCCCAGGCACCACAGGGCAGTTAGCAGCCTCTGAGAGGTTTGTGGAAGTGAAGGTTGGCAGGTCCCATGTGCTCCTAGATGCTGTCAGCATCTTGAACACATAGCTACTCCCAGCACTCCTCAGTCCAGCCTTGCCTGGGTCACTCCTGGTCACTGGCTGGCCATGGCAAGCATCACTCAGCCGCTGCCTATAGCTGTGGAAATAAACCCTGTCTCAGGCTCTGTCCTGAGCACTCTTGCCGTGATTTTGCAGCTCCTAGTTCCATCTGCACTGTGCCTGGCAACACAGCCCTGGGTGAGTTGTCAGAGATGGGCATGTCCTAGAGCAGCAAATGGGGACAACCAGCTCCTCACCCTCTCCCCTCACCGATGCAGGCTCAGGAGCATGTAGGGCTCTGGTTGGAGTCACCCATACCCAGGCTGGGCTGGACCACCCCGAGGTACCTAGAACAAGTGGGGAACCAGGTTCGTTCTTGAGACCTGCTTTGCTTCCTGGAGCCACCAGCAGCTCAGGCTGCAGTAGCCAGCACTGGCAGCTCCCCTCCATGCCCACACCCCCATTCCTGCTGGGAACTGCCAGCACGTGTTCCATCCCTAGGGAAGATGCTCCGTGCATCCCAGTGGCTCTCGCTGGCACAGGGTGTGCCCCTCTCCCGGGCTGCTGTCGGGAGCCGCTCGCTGCAGATTACAGAGCATACATCCTCTCCCTGCCCTCTTCCTCCCCTGGACAATGCTCCCAATTCAGGCGCCCGCCTCGCTTCCCGACGGGCCCTAAATACGGTGCTTCCAGGCTGAGCTGTTGCACCTGAGCTGGCTGAATCAATATTGACCGGCCAGGAATAGTCCCGCAGCCCTCTGAGAATAGCCCCGCACCACCACCCCCCCACCACCCCCCGCCGCTGCCCGCAGCTTTCCGCACGGGGCTGCCCTGCTGCTGGAGGGTATTTTTATCTGCTGCCGGTGCTGGCTGCATGGGTTGCAGGTGCCGGCACCCACTGAGCCCCGAAGCAACAGGCGTGACAGTGCAGGGGTCACCTCCACGGGGACACTGAGCAGCAGGACACGGTGGTCCCGCTGCTGTGGGTTGAGACTGGCAGGTCCCAGCCGTGGGAGAGACCACCGGACCCCCCATTGTCCCCATCAACAGAGGTAGGGCTGGAAGCGGGACCTAGCACCACCCTGTCTTGCACCCCGTCGGCATCCGCCCTGGGGGGCCTTTAGGCGGGCTTCTCACCTCACACTTGAGTAATTGAGCTCAAAAACGTTGAGACACACGAGTGAGTCACGGGTTACACAGCTGGCCACAGCCCTGCCCTTCCCAAGGGCTTTCCATGCCCCAAGGTTGGGGCCGGCCAGGGACCCCTACCCCAAGAGAGGCTCCAGCATGTCCCTGAACCCAGCTAGAGCATAGGGATGAGTGTGCCCCCCGAGGGGGTCCCGGGCCGTGCACCCCTGCACGCCCAGAGATGCTGGAGGCTCCCGTGGGACGTGGCGATGAGCTCACGGGCTATTCCCGGCCAGCTGTGTTGATCCTGGCTCCTCCCGGCAGGAACCGGCTGCCTTGACTCCAAACAAACAGCCCGGTGGCCACCGGCACATTCCTGGCCGATCCCTGGCCACGGCAAGGGCACAGGGCTTCCTGTTTATCCCGGTCCCATGGCGTGGCACGGCGGGCTGTGTGGGCAGAGGGGTGCCCTGGGGACTGGCAGCACCCCAAGCCAGAGGTTGCTACCGGGGCAGGTCAGGGGGGACATCCCCCATCTCCATGTCCCACTTAGAGGGGGCTGTGCCTGGGGACCCCTACAGCCAGCCCTGCTCAGGGATGACTCAGGTGATGCCCTGAGCCCTGGGAGGACCGTGCTCTAGGCTCCCGGTGCTACCCCACAGCCTTCCCTGCCTGGTCTATGTGTCCCCCAAGTCCAGGGTCCATTGCAGCAGCTTCAGGCCACTGCTCGAGTTGCTGCGTGGGGTGGGAAGGGGCAGGGGGTGTCCTTTTGGGGTGTCCCTAGTGTGGCAGTGTCCTCTGCCTGGATGGGGACCAGCCCCACTGTACCGCGGTGCTGGGCATGGGGGGAGGAGCATCCCTGACTGGGGGCATTGGGCTTATTTTAGGGGAGGTTTTCCAGGCTCCCAGCAGGGAGGGGCTATCCCAGGGATGCTTGAACCCCCCCCCCGAGGTGGTGGGGGAGAGAGAGGGATTGGGGCAGGTTTTCCCCAGGGTGACAGGTGGGGACAGAGGGAGTCAGGGTGCAGGGCTGGGCTCCAGGCACGGTGCGGGGGGGCCGGGGCCGGCCTGGGCAGCGTGGGCCCCCCCGGTGCGTCCCACCCCGCCACACCATAAAAGTGGCGGCAGGCGGTGCTCGGCAGCAGGAGCTGTTGGAGACCGGCGGAGCTTCCCCTCGGCACCGCCTGCCCCACGCTGCTGCCCGTCCCGCACCGCCAGCCCCGGCCACAGTGAGTGCTGAGGGTGGCTCCGGCGAGGGATTCGGGCACCTGGAGGGAGGGTGAGCAACCCCACCAGTGGGGATGCGGGGAGAAGTGGGGTGATGGGGGACAGGGGCTGTGTACAGGATGGGGAGGGGACTCGTGTTCAGGTGGGGGATAAAAGGGGGCTCTGCGGGGCCCCGACTCATGGGGCAGGCAGGAAGCAACAGGGGCCCGGGTGGTGTTCATGGGGCAGTGGGTGCCTGGAAGGGCTACGCTAGAGCTGGGTACCCCCAGTGAGGGGCAGGTGAATGTGGGGCTGGGGCAGAACCTCGGGATAGGGGATGCTGTGAGCTGGGGGATGCTGTGAGCTGTGCATGGCAGGGACCAGCTCCTGCGTCCCCCGCAGAGCAAGGACAAGGATGTCACTGCCATGCAAAGGGGTATGATATCCCTCAAATCATGAGGCACAGGGTGGCTGCAGCAGCACCCCCTCATCCTGCCGCAGTCCCCAAGTGCTCAGTGTCGGGCTATCTGCAGGCACCCCATCCCCAGAAGCACGATGGTGATGCCAGCTAGCACCAGCCCCATCCTGCTGGTGCTGCTGCTGTGCTGGGTGGCCCCCAGCAAGCAGGAGCCAGCCCCGATGCAGCTGCGGCTGGCAGGGCCCCGAGGCCCGGCCGGGGAGGGACGGCTGGAGGTGCTGTACCAGGGGCGCTGGGGCACGGTCTGCGACGATGGCTTTGACTTCCATGTGGCCACCGTCGCCTGCCGGCAGCTGGGCTACACCGCGGCCATCACCTGGACCCATAGTGCCACCTACGGCCAAGGGGAAGGTAGGGGGCAGGGGGGGAATGGGGGGACAAGGGGTCTTGGAAAGTGTAGTGTGCTTAATGCCGGTGGGGGGAGCCTGCCTGGGAAGCTGAGGGTGTGAGCAGCTGTGGATGTGGGCAGCATGGATGCAGGCCATGGTGATGGGGAAGGAGATGGGGGCCCCACCAGTGGTGACCTCATCCCTGCCATGTGTCCCCCAGGCCCCATCTGGATGGACAATGTGCGGTGTGGAGGTAGCGAGAGCTCCCTGGCAGAGTGTGTTCACAACGGGTGGGGCACCAGTGACTGCCACCACGGTGAGGATGCTGGCGTGGTGTGCTCGGGACAGCGACTGCCTGAAGGCTCCCCCCAGGCCATCTCCTCTGATCACCTGGGAGAGGTCAGTGGGGGGCATGGGGCTCTCCTATGCCCCATAGGGCACACCAGGGGGACTGGAGCAGGTCCCTCTGACCCGTCCCTGTGTCCCCATCCTGAACACACTGCCCCTGATGCTGGAGCACCCGTACCCACCCCTATTCCCACTGCAGCATGTGCCAGGGCTGAGCCTGGAGGAGGTGCGGCTCAAGCCCATCCTGGCGCGGGCCAAGCTGAGCATGCCGGTGATGGAGGGTGCCGTGGAGGTGAAGCACAACGGGCGCTGGAGGCAGGTGTGCAATGCTGGATGGACCAGGAACAACAGCCGTGTGGTCTGCGGGATGCTGGGCTTCCCCTGGGAGAAGCCCCTCGACACCAGCTTCTACCGGTAAGGGATGCAGGGGCCCACATTGCAGCCATAGGGGATGTGGGGCAGGGTGCCTGGTTGGAAGCACTGTGGGACAGGAGACCAAGGGAGGTGTTGGAGGGGGATGCACATATGGGTGGGTGAACTGGTATGGCCTGGCCATGCCTGGGTCCCCTTCTTGGGGCCTGGATGAGGGGCAGAGCTTGGTGCTGCACAGATGGTCAACAGCCATGGCCAGCAAAGCACGGGTACAGGAGAGGAGAGGCAAGTGGCCCTGGGCCCCTCCACCCCTGCCTCTGTCTGGGGCTATAAATACAACCCATAATGAGCCCCTGCCGATGCCAGGAGTCACGCAGTCCTGCCGGGGCACACGGTACAGCCAAGCTTGGCACGGTAATTGCCACTGGGGAGAGGACCTCTCCTCATCCTGCTGTGCCGTGGGAGGACCTCACGGCTCCAGCTCCTGCCATGGGGTGCTGAAGAGGGCAGGGATGATGATGGGGCGGGGGGTCTGGAGCCCTGCAGCTTCTGCATGGCCTCCCTGACCTCCTGGCTCTGTGTTCTCACAGGAAGCTCTGGAACAAGAAGCTGAAGGACCCCAGCTCCAGGTAGGGCTCAGGCTCGGTGTGAATGTTGGGCGAGGGACAGCCTGGGGCACCCAAGCCGACAGCAGACCCTGCTCCTCTCCCTTGGCAGCCTGAAGACCCTCAGCCGGAAGAACAGCTTCTGGGTGCACAGGGTGCGATGCCAGGGCACGGAGCCCCACCTGTCCCGCTGCCCCACGGAGGTGTCCCCGCCAGCCCCCCACCAGCACGCCTGTCCCCACGGCATGCACGCCATCGTCAGCTGCCTGCCCGGCCCTGCCTTCCGGAAGGGCACAGGCAAGGGCAGGAGCAAGACCCCCCTGGGAAAGGTGAGCCCCAGCATAACCCCATCCTGCCGATGGATGGTCCTGGAGCCAGGCAGCATGCAGCCACCCCATGGCGCAGGCGGGGGGCCCATGCCTTGGAGCCACTTACTGGCTGTTCCCTGTGCCCAGGTGCTGCCGGTGCGGCTGCGAGCAGGCACCCACGCCGGCGAGGGACGGGTGGAGGTGCTGCGCCATGGGCAGTGGGGCACTGTGTGTGACAAGCAGTGGGACCTGGCTGCAGCCAGCGTGGTGTGCCGGCAGCTGGGCTACGGGACAGCAAAGCAGGCCCTGCTGGGAGCCCAGATGGGCCAAGGTGAGACAGGCAGCGTGGCAGGGGCTCCACTGGGCTTGGAGGGGCACAAAGAGGAAAGCCCCTGGTTTACTGGGTGCTGCTGGAGCACCCTGGGATGTCCAGGCAGCTCCACACTGCACTGGGATGGGTCTCCCCTGGCTGCTCCTGATATGGGCAGCTCCATTCCCATGGGTAATGCACAGATGAGGGGAAGGAGGGTGAGGGTTCTCCCTGCTCCAGGATGAGCATGGGGAGTTGACTGTCCCTCTGATTCAGGCCTGGGGCCCATCCACATGAGCGAGGTACGGTGCACTGGCCACGAGCTCTCCCTGGGAGAGTGCCGCTTCCAGGATGCTGAACAGAGCGGGTGTCGGCATGAGGCTGATGCTGCCGTCCGCTGCCACGTCCCCAACATGGACTTCAAGAGCCAGGTGAGCCCCTGAGTCCTCCCCAGAGCCTGCAGAGCCCCCCTGTCCCTCAGGCTCTCTGCCTGGTGTGGGTGCTCAGAGCAGCATGCAGATGAGGGGTGGCAAAAATGGTCCTGTAAGGAAAGGAGGAAGAGGAAGGCAGAGATGTTCACCTGGATGCATGGGGATGCCTGTCCCACTGAGCTGCTGGGTGGGGGACCTGGGGGCCTGCCCCACACTGCAGCTGAGCCCCCCTTTGCCCTCAGGTTCGCCTGGCCGGGGGCCGCAGCCCTGATGAGGGAGTTGTGGAAGTGCTGGTGCCGGTGCAGGGGCAGCTGCAGTGGGGCGCAGTGTGCGGTGCACAGTGGGGGCTCAACGAGGCCATGGTGGTCTGCAGGCAGCTGGGGCTGGGCTTTGCCAGCCATGCCCTCCAGGTGAGCGGGGTCCCAGTGGGGCCTGGGCTGCAAGGGGTTCTATGGGATGTGAGGTGTGGGCATGGGGTGGCCAGAGGCTCTGGGGCAGGACAGCCCCCCGGGACAAGCCCTGGTGGCAATGCAGGGGCAGGGGAGGTGGGGTGGGCGCTGGTATGGATGCAAAAGCTGATCTGAGCACTGTGCTCCTCCACTGCCCAGGAGACATGGTACTGGGCAGGCAGCCCCGATGCCACCCGGGTGGTGATGAGCGGGGTGCGCTGTGCCGGCACCGAGCTGGCCCTCCAGCAGTGCCAGCGCCATGGCCCCATCCACTGCCCCAGCGGCGGCGGGCGCTTCTCAGCGGGGGTCACCTGCACTGCCCGTGAGTACCATGAGCCCATGGATTAATGCTGCTACGGGGCACCCCTTCCCCTGGCACAGAGAGATGGGGGGGCTCTGCAAGGTGAGGATTGTGTGCTCCATGCCTGCCAATGCTCTCCATGCCAGATGCCCCGGACCTGGTGATGAATGCCCAGCTGGTGCAGGAGACAGCCTACCTGGAGGACCGGCCGCTGGAGCTGCTGTACTGTGCCCATGAGGAGCGCTGCCTCTCCTGCTCCGCCGACCACATGCAGTGGCCCTACGGCCATCGCCGCCTCCTCCGCTTCTCCTCCCAGATCCACAACCTGGGCAGAGCCGATTTCCGACCCAAGATGGGGCGCCACGCCTGGACCTGGCACCAGTGCCACCGGTGAGTGTCCTGCAGGTAGCGGCTGGCAGGGAGCTGCCCCCTCCCAGAGCCAAGCAGGGCATACTGGCACCCATCCCACAGAGACTGGCCCGCCTGGGGTAATGAGCAGCATCCGCACCAGCACTGTCATTACAGCTTTATTTGGCTTCAGGGCTGTAATTTGCTCGGAGCTATGGGTGCTGCCTCCTCCCAGCTGGGCGGCTGTGCCAGCCACGTGCTCCCCAGCTGGGCACCAGCCCCACACTCATCCCCTGTCCCTGCAGGCATTTCCACAGCATCGAGGTCTTCACCCACTATGACCTTCTGACACTCAATGGTTCCAAGGTGGCTGAAGGGCACAAGGCCAGCTTTTGCCTGGAGGACACCAACTGCCCAGAGGGTAGGTGCCAGCTGCAGCGCTGCCAGCAAAGCCCCCATCCTGCCCCCCACAGGGGGCTCTGCTCGTGCCCTCCCTCACATCACCTCCCTTCTACAGGGCTGCAGAGACGCTTTGCCTGTGCCAACTTTGGGGAGCAGGGGGTGAGTGTGGGGTGCTGGGACACCTACCGCCACGACATCGACTGCCAGTGGATTGACATCACCGATGTGCCACCAGGCAGATACACCTTCCAGGTATGGGGATGGAGGGGCACTGATCCCCTGGAGCTCAGCATGGGCACCACCAGCACCCCTCACTCTGTACATCGAGGTGCTGTTCTGCACCCCACCATGCATGCTACAGCCCTGCCTGGCACAGCAGTGCTGCCCTTCACCCTCTCCAGGTGGTTGTGAACCCTAAGCACGAGGTGGCAGAGTCGGACTTCTCCAACAATGTGATGCGGTGCCAGTGCAAGTACGATGGGCAGCGCGTCTGGATGCACGGCTGCCACACAAGTATGGAGAGATGGGAGCATAAGGGGCATGGCAGGCGGAGGGAAGAGATGGGGCTGGGGTACTGCAGGTCCCATGTCCCCCCACCACCAACCCATGCCGTTGATCTTCCCAGGTGATGCCTACGGTGCAGATGTAGTGAATGACCTGGAGCGACGGGAGCGCCTGGCCAACAACCTGGTGTAACCCCATGGCATTGGCATGCTCCCAGCAGTGCCGCAGGGCTGCCCAGCTCCCACACCCCAGCCCCTGTGCCCTGGCAGCACCACACTGAGCTCAGGGACTCGAAGACTTTTGTATTTATTGATGCTGCTGCAGCGGATGGAGACAAGCACCAGGGCTGGTGGGGAGTGCCCGAGGCGGGGGGTGCTCAGCCCTGCACCACCAGGACCTGCAAGAGGGGCCCAGGTACCACAGCAGCCCCCACCTTGGTGGCTCCGGTCCCCCCCCAGGATGACTACCTCAGCCTGCTGCCTCGGGACAGGCCCTGGCCACTGCCACCTGTGCACCAATCCTGTCCTCAATAAAGGTGCTGTGCTATGGGAGATGGGGTATCCCCTTATCAACCCCACCATCCCCTGCTCCTTCCTCTGCACTCTTCCACCCCAGGACCATGAAGCCAGTCCGCAGCCAGGATCAGCCCTGGTCCAGGTGATGTGTCCCTAGCCAGGCAGTGCCCCTGCTCTGCCACCCGGAGCCACAAGCCCCCTGGCTGCTTGCATGTGGCTGGTGCCAAGTAGCCCTAGCTTGCCACCAGTAGTCCCCACCAGCCAGGGCACCTTGGCCCTGAACTGGCTGACCCCATGCACATAAGGGGATGTGGCCAGCTCTGTGGCAGCACAGGCCAGCAGCCAGTCCACCAGCCACTACGGCTGCAGCCACCGTGCCGGGCTTTCCCAGGCTGCCCTGGCAGCTTCCCAGCCCTAGAGCGGGAATGGGGCCACTCAGCCCCTTGAAGTCCTGGCTCCTGAGCACAGGGTGGGGATGCAGTGGCCACCATGCCCCTGCTCTCAGTGTTTCTCTCCCCCCGTGGTTTCTAGGTTGGTTATTTTTTTAAATAAAAGGAAATAAATGGAATACCAGCAACCCACGCTCTGTCCTGCCTGGCCTCTGGTGAGTCAGCTACTGAGCAGTGCCACCCCTTTCATTGCACACCTCTGCCCATGCCATCTCACTGCCAGGCACCAGCCCAGGGCAGGAGGCTGCAGCAGCCAGGGTAGGCTGGGCTGAACCCACACATGACATGTGGTTCACATGTGGAGGAGCCACCAGGCACGGTGCTGACACACTGGGGTGGCCCAGGACCAGAGTCTGTGGCAAGGCACGTACCGGTGAAGGCGTGCTCTGCTGGTGTGAGGGTACAAGGGATGCCGGATGGTGGGGAGGATGCTTTCCACATGAGAGCATCTTCACACCCTGGTATTTCCACTGTCTGAGCCACAAGCAGCCAGGAACAGTGGCTGAGATGCTGGCAGCAGTACCAGAACAGGGCAGGCAGCCACTGCTGCAAGGTCGTGACCAGCTCCACTGCCGCCAGGCTGGGGGACAGCCAGGGGACATGGGGCAGCCACAAGAGCCCTTCAGCACAGGCTGGGGTGAGGCAGCCACAACGGAAAACACAGACCATGGGCAGGAGTGGAGGAAAAGCATCATCCCCATCCTCACCTGCTGCAAAGGGCATGGGAACTTCACAAACTTTGGCCCCAAGAGTGTGGGTGGGCTACAGGCCAGGACTGCTGGGGCACACAGGGATGGTTTTTGGGTACTGAGAGATGATACCAAGCAGGTCCCAGCCACTTGCCTGCACCCCCGCCCCAGGGCAGGGCAGGAAGCCCCCAGCTCACCAGTGCCGGCAGCGCAGCCACATCACAGCCCTGAGCGGGGCCGGGAACGCAGCCCTGCCCATGCACCAACAAGGGCCCTGCTGTTCAGGCTCTGCGGAAGTACACAGGGACCCTGCCAGCACATTCCTGCTGCTGCCCTGCCTGACCCCTCCTGCCTGCACCTCACCCCCCCCCACCCCACCAGGACACCCATCCCCATGGCAGCATGGACAACGTGCGGCAGCCCCCAGCATGCACACCCTGCCCTGGCACGCAGGGCTACGGAAAGACACAGCCCAGCCAGGCAAATAAAATAGATGGTATTTATTAGCAAAATAAAGGACAAACTCTCACTCAAAGGCCCTGCCAGGTGGCCAGGGCCGCCCCACACAACCCCATGCTGCTGCTTCCAGTGCTAAAGGCAGGTCCTGCTCTGGGCTGGATGGGCTGCACTGCCCAATGGGAGACAGCATCCACGAGGCACCAACCAGCCTGCACGCATCCTGCTCATCCCTTTCAGTGGAGCAGATTTTTGGATGCAGTGCAGGATCCGTCCCAGCTCTGAGATGCAGGGTGCCCTGCCTGCCCACAGAGGGGCCTGGCACCCAGCGGGGTTGCCAGTGGGGCTGAAGGTGCAGCCTCCCAGCTCAGTCTCGGCCCTCCCAGGCATCCTCCCGCTGCTTGTTCTCCAGGCGCTTCCTCTCTGCAGAGACAAGAGGAGGGTCAACCCCATGTCCCCATCACCACACAGGTACTCACTCCATGGAGGTGGCTGTAGCCCACCCTGGGGCAGCCCCCTCCCACCCAGCACCCTGTGAGAAAGCATACCCATGAGCAGGGTTGTCCCCCCACCACAGCCTCCCTGGGCAATCCAAATCTCACCCTGGGCTTCTTGCAGCTTCCTCCGCTCAGCGTCTCGCTGGGCTGGTGTCTGCTTGCTGCGTACTCCCAGGGCACCGATCACCAGCCGTCTGGCCAGGGCTGCTGATGTTTCAGGGCGCTCCTTGGCTGGCTGCAGGAATTCTGGGTGAGCAGAGATGGGGGACATCAGTAAGAGCATCCCAGGAGGATGCAGCACAGGTGCTGTGGAGCTATGCAAGCTGTCCTGTCCCTCCCCAGTTATTGGGATGAAGATGCTGTAGCATAAGCACCATGGCACAAGCCAGCATGGGGCGGTACCACTCACCAGCGTATGCCCTGGCTTTGGCTTTAGAGGCACGGGTACCCTGGGACAGTGGACGTGTCTTCACCATCAGGTGCTTGGTGCTGAGGGCATCGCGTGCTGCAGGGAGAGAGTAGTGGTGTCCATGTGTGAGGCCAGCCGCATGCCCACCATCTGGCCGTGGGAGAGGCAGGGATGCCTCCCCTCTGCCCATCCCCTGATGAACAGGGAGCAGTACCTGTTATGGGGCTGGAGAAGACACCCAGGGCATGTGTATCATCCACCCACTTAATATCAAAGCCTTTTTTCCTGCCGGAGAGAGGGAAGCTCAGCAAGGCATCAGCACTGAGTGGGCAGGGGTCTGAAGCAGAGCCCAGGTAGGGGACCCCAGTGCCGGTGACAGAGTATTGCAGGCAGACTCACTGATAGCTGCAGAAGACACGCATCAAGTCCTCAGTGCGGAAATCCGAGGGGAAGTCATAGATCTCGATGACATGGGGCAGCTCATCATCGCTGATGTCCGGTGCAGCAGGCTCAGCCCCATAGTAGTCAAAGCGGGGTGACTGCTGGCTCTCCCGCCTCTTCTCACCCCCTGAGAGCTGCAGGGGTGGGAGAGGCACAGCACTGAGCAACCCCTGCCCACCTGCCCCATGCCAGCTCCCAACCCATGGCAAGTGCTCCCTGGGAAGTAGTTCTGCTCCACGGCCCACCCCAACACTACAGATGGATTCATGGCATCGAGATATTAGGAGTTATTGACTGGAGTTCTCATGCTATGCACTTGCTTTTCCCATTACCAGCATCCCTCCACTTGCTGCGCTCTGCAATCCCACCAGAGACACAGTAGGAATGGCACCAGTGTGTGCACCCCCAAGCACAACCCTCCTTCTGCAGGACCCAAAATACATTTGGGGAACCACAAGGAGTAGGAGAGCAAGGCCAGGAGGAAGGACTGATGTCTGCCTGCCATGCGGGAGCACTGGGCTTGGCATGCCCCTGCTGCAGCACATGCACTGGAGCAGCCCATCAGCACCCCAGCTGCCAATGTGGAAAAGCCGGCGCTCTCCGGAGGAGCAAGTTCTGGTGGTTAATCACCTGCACAGCTAAAATTTATGCTGTATTCCTCATTTGAATTTGTCAGTCTCTGCTTCCCAGCCAGCAGATCTTGTTCTGTGTCTCTGTTGGATTAAAGAGCCCTGAGTCCCCAGTCTCCTCCCCATGATGGAACTTACTCATGCTAATCAAGTCCCTTCTCAATCTTCTTCCTGATAAGTGAAACAGTTTGTGCGCCTTTAGTATCTCACAGTGGGGCACTTCCTCCAACCCTCAAAGACGATGGCTGTACACTTTGTTACTTCTCCCGTTTTTCATGGGCAGCAGTGTCCCACTCCCATGACATGGGGCTGCAGCTGCCCCCTACTCCCCTCTGCCCAACAGCATCGTTGCCAGTATGCCCCCCTGCACCACTCTCTGCCCAGTGAGCTACCATGCATCACTTCCTGCACTCCTCTTTCCAAACTGCACCCTGCCAATGGTAAAGGGTGCTGCAGCTGAGACATTGGGCCAGGGACAGCCCAAAGGCATCAGAGGCTCCACCGTCCTCCCTGGAGCATGGCGCTATGGACCAGATACATAACTCAGCCAGGTTCCCAGCCTGATCCCCCAAGCGATCGTAGCAGAACACACCGTGGCTGGAAGAGTCCATAAATCCCAGCCAGCTCAGTCAATAAGAAGTGCTCATTCCGACAATTTTATGGGGAAGATGGATTCACAGCAGGTGAGGGGGAGCTGCTGGGGCGGCTGGATGCTGGCGGAGGGTAGAGCTGAGTGATGGAGCTCACGGGACAAGCCAGCACTGCTGGCAGAGCCGCCTGCCCTGCCACCATCACCCTTTAACCAAGAGCACCCCTGCTGCTCAGGAAAGCGAAGGAGCCATCCCCGGGCAGGATGAAGCCCTGCGGTGCCGCCTGAGGGAGCAGAGTGCTCGGGGAGTGCCAGGCGTAAGGAAGATTAGAGAGAGGGAGCACAGAGTGCGAGAGCGGTCCTTGACCTTCACAAATCACAGAGTGTGGTGGGGCAGCAAGGACAGGATCCGTCTGGCTGCAGGCTCAGCTGTGCAGCCGGCACGGCTCAACAGGTTCCCCCTGCACTGCCAGCCCAGGCACACAGCGTGCCCAGAGACCCCCAGCCATGGGGCAGGGCTGGGAGCAGGAGCTGGCATATGGCTGATGGATGGAGAGGGGGACAGCAGAGACGGGCACCATGGAAAACAAAGCCTTCACATCACACCTTGCTGCTCGCTAAAGACAGACCCTCACCAGAGCACATTAGAGGGGTCTGTGGCCGCTTCCTTACACTCCCTCCTACTTGCTGAGAGTGCACATCCAGAGCTGGAGGGAAGGTGGGCGCTGACACTCACACACCATGGCCCCGGCATACGTACACCATGGTCCCCACCTCGCTGTACTGGCTCGTGGAGAGTCCTCCAAACCTGCATGGAAATGGTCGCAGTGCTTAATTATCCTCTGTGCTCGAACTGATTTCTGCTCTGAATTTGTCTGGTTTAAGCTTCCAGCCAATGGATCTCGCTATGGTGTTTTTTCCTGCTAGATTAAAGAGCCTTCCACTATCAGAAATCTCTCCTCCATGCAGAACATCATAAATCTTGCTCTCTGCCAGCTATCTGCATCGCATAAGGATTCAGTTACGAGGAAGAACATTACTAATTTTCCTGTGCTTTTTGTTAATTAACAACAGCTCCCTCACCCCCAGAGCCTGTGCCCCACCTCAGCAGCCACATTCGCCTGCCGAGAGCTCAGAGGGCTCCAGAAGCACCACACTCAGCACAGGAACCTGCAGGGGTGAAGATGGGAAGTTTTAATCAATAAACCCCCTTTTCAGGTTCCTATTTACCCATTTGGGGAAGCTCCCTGGAAAGCTCAAGCTTCGCTCAAAGCTAACGTGGATACTCCAGAACTCCTTGGAGCCAGCACCCGTGCTGCACAGCACAACCTTGCCCACAGCAACCTGTGGCTGCACCATAACATGGGCCCTCCCAGGGCCAGGCAGCTACTCAGCTGCATCCAAGGACAGAGCCGTGCCCACCGTGCCATCCCATGGAAAGCCAGTGCCCGCACCACATGTGCCCTCAGAGCAGCAGCACTGTGTCCCTTGCACCAGTGCTCACCATGACCTCCCTGCTGGGGCCGCAGCAGGGGGGAACACAGTCAGGCAGGGATGGGGGTACTCACACCCCCCCATAGTCTCTGTCCAAGCAGTCCCAGAGGCAAGCCCCATGTGCCCCACACCCAGCCCCATGCTGGGCTCAGAGAGGGCACAGAAGCCAGAGCACAGCCCCATGGACAAGGTGGGTACCAGCACCCTTTGGTAAAGATGCTGTCATCAGGCACCATGAACTACTTCACACTCTGCTTCCAGCCCAGGGTGGACAGACACTGGAGGTACCAATATTAGTGCTGTTTGTTACTTTGGGCAGGTTAATGCCGTTCAGAAAATTACCATGTTGACACTACTGATTTAAAATGCAATAAGGGATATCCAGCCTCGCTGCAGAGGCTTAGCCTTCCTCATGAGCAGCAGGAAAAGAGAGTAGGTCTTGGTGCTAAGCAGCTAATTGTAGTAAATCCAGCTGCACACGTGCAGGAGGGTATGGTAATGAATCACAGCTGATTGAGAAGCTGTGGTTTCGAGGAAACATCCCGTTGCTATTTCAATGGGAGCCCATACATCTCAGCCCATTTCTTTATCACCAGCCCTGGTTTCACAAGGGTGCAGTTGCAATTTACAGTGCTTAAGCAGCTTTTACTGGGTGCACTTTATGTACTGTAAAAGGGAAGATCTTCCCAAGCCTTCATCAGCACTGGGGGACAGGATGGGAACCAGCCAGGGGTGTGAAGGTGGAGATCCTTGGCACTGCAGGCAGCTCGTGCCCTTAGTAAGAGCTGACGGTACTGCAGACAGTACAGCCAGGCTGGCCGTATGCCCTGGGTGCAGCCTGCCCCGCCATGCAACCACCTGGGAGGACACAGGGACAACTGTCCCCCTCAGACCCCTGTCCCCACAGCAGCAGCCACCATCCCTGCAAACCCCCACGGGTGCTGGCTTGCAGGACATACCTCCTCCAGCAGGCGCGGGTCCAGGCAGTCTCCATCATCATTGAACAGCATGTCCCAACTCTCCTCGGCACCCGGGCTGGCCTGGTTTGGGGTTCTGGCACTGGTGCTGGTCTGCTCTTCCTTTGGGGAGCTGCTACGGAGACCTCTCTCCTCCTCCTTGGTCTCCTGGCTGCACTGGTGCTGCTGTGGCAAGCCTGCATCCTCATCTGCCCCCGCTGGCTCCTCAGCCCAGGCCGCGGGCAAGAGTTCCTCTACACCATGGCACAGCAGCTCCAGGGGCGCTGGGGGCTCCCAGCTCTCTGAGGGTGCCCCATCCCATGATTCACTCACCAGCTCCTCCCTAGCACCCAGCCGGCCACTCTCAGCCCCAGTGCTGCTGTCTGTGCAGGCAGAATGGTTGCCTGCTCCCACCGCAGCAGGCACTGGGTCTCCCTCCCCACTGGGATGCCCAGCACATGCACTGCTCTCTTCCTTGCCAGGTGGAAGCCAGGATGGGCTGCCCATGCCCTGCCCCAGGGTGCTCTTCCCTGGGAGCACTGGAGCATCATCCATGCCACCCCCTGAGCGCTCAGGTTCGCAGCTGACTTCTGGTGCACCCAAGGCACACTCTGCCATTCCTCCCCACCTCTCCTCATCCTCTGGCACCCCAGTGGCACAGCCCTCACTCTGACCTGCCTGAAGAGAACCCCCACACTCCCTCTCCTCCTCCTGGGCTTTTGGACCCACTGCCTCCCATGCCAGCTTGTGCATACTGCCCAGGTCACCCAGCCCTGCTGGCTGCAGGACATCCTCTCCCAGGCTCTGGGAGACATCTCTAGCTGGTCCTGGGGGCATCTCTGACACACCACTTGACCCTATCTGACATGCTGGCGTTGGGCTAGTGGAAGGCATTGAGCTAGTGGGGTCACCCCCCATCTTGGGGATAGCCTCCACGGCCCCAGGCTTAGCACTCAGCGTGGATGGAGGGTCAGGCTGAGTCCTCATCATCTGCTGGCCGTGGCTGACCCCTCCAAGTCCTTCACCGTGGGATGCTTTGTCCTGGGCAACAGCCAGATCGAGGCACGGCTCCCGTATGCTGGGTGATGCTCTTAGGCTCTCTGGTGCAATGGGGCAGTTGCCTCCCAGCCTCGAGCTGTGGCCAGCAGAGGCTGTCCGTGGCTCCTTTGGGCCAGCATCCCCCTTGTTCTCCCTCCTCGCCACTCTGCCCGCCTGTGTCCTGGCACGGGGGCTTCGCCTCTGCCCCTCGCCGCTGGCCTGGCAAGTGTCCTGCACCAGGCGGTGGTTCTCAGGCTCCCGGCGCTGCCCGCCTGGTGTGCTGCCCGCTGCTTGCACTGCTCTCTCCCGCCGTGCTTTGGGCACATAAAGGGCCATGTCGGGCTTCCTGCGGCGCGGCCGGCTGCCCTCAGCTTCCTGCTGCATGGTGCCACTGCTGCCTGCCAAGGAGATACAGTGTCACTGCCCTGACTGCGCCCAGCAGCCACCGGGCAGCCCCTGCACGGGTCAGTAGGTTGGGGTCCCAGCCTGGCACCCACCCTCACTCCAACAGCAGTTGGCACACAGCAATGGACAGCAGAGCCCCAACACTGCACCCACCACAGCAGGTCTACAGATGGGGTCTGGCACTTGGAGTACTCTGCAGCCCTACAGCCTTTGGTGGGGTTTACCAGGCTTGGGTGAAGCAGGGAAACCCTCCCAGTATCACTGGGATGCCTGCTCCGCTTTGGTAGCTGCTGCCTGGAACCCCTGAGCCCCAGGGGCCAGCATCCATAGCTGAAGCAGGACACACAGCCCTTGCACCATTCATGCATCAAAATCTGTGGAGAAGCTGGTGGCAGCCACAGAGCACCATAAACACAACTCCAGCCCAGGACCAGGGCTGCAACCCCAGCATGCCACAGCCCTGCTGCCCTGGCCTGGCAGAGATTTATTTTTCATCATCTTTGGCAGAAGCAGGCATGCCACAAGCTGCCAGGCCCCCTGTCCCTATAAATATGCATCAGACAGAGTTTACAGAGATGGATGGCGTGGGGGGCTGCGCTGCGGTTGAGGGGAAGGCAGAGCGGGGCTGGGCTGGGGCCCCGTGATTAATCACTGCCCACTCCATTTAGGGGGATTCATCACAGTCCACTGTCAGGTAAATCACTGGAAAAACACCTCTTCAGTAATTAATGTGAAGTGACGGATGGACAGCCCCCAGGCCCATTAATCTAGACCATCAGCGCCGACCGAGATTATGAATGTCAGGATGCATAAACTGCCGGCGGATCAATAGGGCCAGGAACCCATCCAAGGCTTTCATTTCCGAGGCACCTCCGGTACATTAGCCTCCCCTGCACGCAGCCCCCGACCAAGGTGCAAATGCTCCCTGTGGCCCTCACCGACAGCCAGCAGCGGTGCCAGGAAGGCGAGGGGAGGCCAACCACTGGCTGGAAAGTGGCCGGGGCAGCCCGTGCCACACGGCATCATCCCATCCTCCTTACAGAAGGGTGGACAGGCAGCTCCCTCAGCGTGATGGATGGATGGATGGATGGGTCTTTCACAGCTCTCTGGAAACCACTGGCAAGCCGGGGAAGGGCAGTGCTCCCCAGCATCACCGTGGCATCCGTGCCTGCACCTCGTGCCCGTGCACTCCTGCCCACCTCTGTGGCACAAGGCGCAGGCACGGGCGCCACAGGGACACTGGACACAGTCCCAGGGCTGCCCCAATCATTTTTCTGTCTCCGCAGCTCTTGTCATTTTTCCCCCTCTTTGATACACTAATTTTGCTGGCAGAACGATCCACTTTATCGACTGCGAGAAAGGAACGTATCCTACAAACCCTCCAAGGTCTGGATTAGTCATTTTTCAAGACCGAGGTATTATACATTTTCTCACAGAGCAGCAGCCCGGGTGCAGGAGAAGAGGGGGCACCAGTAGAGAGATATCACCAAACAGCTTGGGGAGAGGAACACTTATCCCCCCAAGCTCTGCTTCCCGAGAATTTCCAGCATGGGGAGCAGCCAGGAGCAGCATTGCTCCACACACATCCCAAGTCACCTCCAAGAAGAGCCTTTGCATACAGGATTTATGGGCTCCTCGAAAGCTTGCCATTCACCTTGCCATTCACCTTGCCATTCACCTTGCCTCACCCTCCAAAAGCAGATGGTGCACCATTAGCCAGACGGCTGGTGCTGGGAACATCCTCTCCCTGCGCAGCTTTGCCTCTGCCTGCCGCTTGCTGAGGGGGAAGAGCCGCATCCCACATCCCTGGGAGAAGCACAGGAAGGTGGTGGCTGGCCCACATTGGCAAACAAGTACTGCAGCACTTTGTTTCCTCCCCATAGGGCAGCACAGCTCCTGCCCCCAGCCTATTACACACTTCATCGATGCCACAGCCACACATCGGCACCGACCGATTACACGCTCCAGGAGGCAGAGCAACAGCCCTGGCTTCGGGTCTCATTCACACTACCCTGGAGAGGGTAACCCTGCTGCGTCCAGACTCTGGGACCAAGCTCACCCTGCAAAGCCAGGTGGCAATGGTCAGCACAGTCCCAAAAGGGCTCATGATGCCCTGAGTGCTGCCCTGCTTTTTGAAGCCAGCTAGCAAAACAGTTTGGCATCACAGCACCAAGCAGGTAAAAGCATGCCACAGTACCACGGCAAAAGTGGTGGTGGGAGAGCTGCCCAGCTGCCTGGCACACAATGCCCACCAGTCCCGCACAACACATCCCCTGGTGTGGTCAGGGGATGCTGGAGCATCAGCCAGAAGGTGGTCAGAGCTCCTTACAGGCACAGGCTCCCTTCACAACATCCCCAGGACTATGCGGCTCATGGGGAGCTTGTGGCATGAGTTTGTGAGGCCTCAGAGCAGCTGCTCAGGCAATGTGCCAGCCTGCCTTTCTCCTCTAGTAACCATCTGCAGCACAGACAGGCAGCGTTTTCTCCCTGATTTCTCACCCCTTCCAGTCCAGGGAAGGACCCCATAAACAAGACAGGGCTGACCACATCACAGACCGGACTGCCCAGCGCATCGCCAATCCTCCATCATCTGCATCCCTGCCTAGCAGGTGAGGACACCTACACCACAGCTCCAGTGGCAAAGCCAGGGCCTCTGCCACTAGCAAAGATGCCGGCCACAGTCCCACTTGGGGAAGCTGGGAACAGGCACGGATGCTGGGCTGCAGGGTTCACCTGGAGCGTGCCAGTTCCAGAAAAGTTTCAGTGCCACCCAGTGCCCTCCCAGCAGGCTGCTGCATTTCCTGGCAGGGAGCTGTATTTTTAGCCTTCGAGGTTTCTAATTCCACTCAATCCATACTCCCATCAATAGAGCAGATAACCTTAAAGTCTTGACAGTAAACAGGGATGGCAGCATGGGACCGGGAGCCTTGGGGGACCCGCGTGCAGCCTCAGCACGCAGCTTGCGCACCTGCAATGTCACTCTTTACAGCCTGACACAGATTGGGCTCTTTGGAGGGGGAAAAATAAATAAACACAAGAACAGGACCAATAAAAAAGGCAAGTACAAGGAGATTCTAAACAACCCTGCAGGGGAAGCCGCCACTCGCAGGGTGCATCCCATGCCAGGCACGTGCCTTGGCACACTCGCTGACTGCACAACACCGGTGCCCAGCAGCCTGGGTAAGGACTGTCTGGGGTTTTGGCTACCTGCACCTCTCCTGCTCCCAACAGATACACAGCCCAGCCCGCCTGGCTCACACAGTAGGCAACAGGGCCAGGGAAGGGCCTGGGCACCTGGCAGGGAAAGGCAGAGAAAAGGAAAGAGCACAGTGCTGCCAGCACAAGGCAAGGCAAAGCACTTCAAGGAGCAGAGAGATGGCATCCTGTCCAATGCCTGCCCACGGCTCCAGGGGCTTTAAGACAGCCCTGTCCCCTGCTGCCAGGAGAAGGATGCTCTCCAGCAGCTGGAGCAAACACTGGCTATGGGAGGAGGCAGCAAAGGCACCAAAGGTACAAAGGAAAAAGATTTCAATTTTGCCTTTCATTTTCAATGCTCTTAGGAGATACCTGGACAAGAGGAGGGTGAACAGTTTCAGACAGGAGGAGGATTTGTAAGTCACTAGAGTCCGCTCACAGCTGCAGGAGAGAAAAGGGACAACAAACCAGCAGGAGTTAATAGCTGGAGAGCTAAGTGGAATACAAAGGACTTTACAAATAAACCCAGCAGAATCAGCACAAAAGTGAAAAGATCTATTAATAAACAAGGAGGGAAAGAAAATTAATGATGGCTCAAAAATAAAGATGACTCAAAAGGGCAAAATTACTGTTTTTAACCAGAAAAATGCAAATGAGGCAGAGGCCTCGCAAAAACAGCTGCAGGGAAAGCAAAAACAGCATCTCCACATAGACACGATCACCTGGCCAGTGTGGTGGTGCCAAGATGAACTCATGGACCCATCAACACATACGTGGTGCCAGGAAGAAACCAGGGCCCTGGTGACAGGCAGCGCAAACCAGGCACTGATTTTCTGTGTGAGAAAGAGTAATAAACCTGGAGCCAGTTCAGGATAAACCCTGTGCCCATCCCTAGCACAGAACACAACGGGCAGAGGAAGGAGCCTGCACACTCACTGCGATGGGCACCTGGATGAAGGACATTGGCTTGCCCAGCAGAAGGAATTTCAGAAGAATTACTGGACAAAGCTTTTGGACAAGGCAAGCAAGGTGCATTTCAGCTGAACTTCACGGTATTGTTCTATACCATCTCCCAAGCTTTCACTTGAATAGTGAAATGCAATTCAATTTGCAGAGGGTACTGACCAGAGAGGTGTTGCAAACATTGGCCAGAATAGGGAAATCATTCAAAGGATCTGAGAAATGTAGGAAATGCAGGTAGGAAACAAACTGAGACCCAGTCTGGGAAAATTAAGGTAACAGAACCCAAGGCAACCACTTGGTGGGCAGGAACAGCCTGAAAAGCAAAGCCCAGAGCACTGTGGTGCACTCAAAAGGCAGGTGGCTGAGATGACCACCCCAAAATGTGCAAGGGGCAGAAGCTGGGCAGCAGTATCACACCATGGGCCAGGCCAGGGCTGCGACAGCCCCAGAGCGGGCTGCACGCAGAGCTGTGTGAAGGATGGAGGGGATGCCGAGGGCAGGCAGCTGTGAAAAACAGCGTCCAGAACCTGGGAGCACTGGGCACATGTTTTATGAGGCATGGGAGCCCGGCACACCAAGCACCTGGGGACGTTGTATAACTCCTGTGCCCTCAAGGCTGTCCCTGCCAGCATCGTTCAGTGACTCAATAAGCTGGGGAGAGTTTTGGGGTGTGCAATGTGCTGTTATCTGGGTGCTCCAGGGAGAGGCGAGTGGGACCAGCCTAGGCCATGGCGAGGCGGTCAGGGCTGAGACACGGAGTGAGGGTTGGGGCTGGGACAGGGAATACGAGTCAGAGCTGGGACGCGGGGTGGGGACGGGGGCAGGGAACAAGGGCTGGGGCAGGGAACAGAGGCTGGGACAAGGAATAGGGCTCAGGGCTGGGACAGGGAATAGGGGCTGGGGCTGGGACAGTGGATGGGAGTCATGGCTGGGACGTGGGGTGGAGGCTGGAACAGAGAATGGAGGTGGGGGCTGGGATACCGGGGTGAGGGACAGGGCTGGGGTAGGGAGGGGAGAGCGGGGCAGGGGCACAGTGTGCAGCCCTGGCACCGGACAGGGCGCGCTCCGCGGGCTGCTGTGCCCCTGTTCCGAGCTCCCCGCCGAGATGAGCCGAGCCGAGCCGAGCCGAGCCGGACCGGGCCGTGCCGGGCCGCGCCGCCTGCCAGGCCGCCGCCGTTACCAGTGGCCGCGCCAGGTCCCCCGCCGCTCCGCTCCGCGCCGCCGCCACCGCTTCCGCCGCGCCGAGCCCGCCCCGCCGCGGGGAGCGCCGGGACCTGTAGTGCAGCACCGGCACTCGCCCCGCGCCCCGGGCGGCCGCTCCTTCCCGGCTGGGCAGCCCCCGTGGCTCCCCCGGCCACGCTGGCATCGCCGTGTCCCACCCGGTCCTCTGCACATCCCCGGAACTGGGACCACCGCGGGCATCCCCGGGGCCACCGCGATCCTTCCTGCCCCAGGCACCACGGAGGGGAGGACTCTCCGTGGCTGGGGGGTGATGGACAGGGGGCTGCAGGAGGGAGAGCGACCCCTGCTCCGGCCTGCCCGGGGCACCGGGGAATTGCCAGGGGCTGAGGTCACATCCCGGCGTGCCGGCCGCCCAGACACGCAGCCCGGGGAAGGTGTGTGCGCCGGTTCGCTCCGCTTCCTTCCCGGGGTTTGGCGAGGCGCAGCCTGCCTGTGCCCCGCACGTGATGAGCGGGGCCCCTCCACTCTCGCTCACCCGCAGGCAGCTTGGGCAGCGCTGGGAACGTGCCCGTGGCCGGCGCATCCTGCGGCTCCTAATGAAGTGCTGGTGCTGCAGAGCACTGCCGAGCGGGCCTGTACTTACGGGGGAAGGATGGGAGAGCAGGGCTGGATTCTCTCACACTCAAGGCGAGCGCTGGCAGGGGAGAGGCACGGCTCAGGGGACCCATGCAGGTGTAGGGCTCACTGTCCGTGCAGGCCGATGGCTGCTGCAGCTGCCCTGGTTTGTCTGGTTGATGGACAGAGACAGGGACAGGGTCTCAGCCCCTCCTTCCCCTCCCAGGACCTGCTTCCTAACAAGCCAAAGCTCTCCAATGCAACTCCCAAGCAGCTGCTTCCCAGGCAGCCTCATAACTGCAGGTGAGGCAGGAGTGATGCCCCATAGCATGCACACTGCCTAGTATGGTGGGATGCAAGGCTGGTGCCCAGACAGCTGAGGAAGTGAGGGACCAGGGACCTGCCTCCCTGTCAAGGTGTCACTGAGGCACTGCATGGTGTATCAGTGCATGGGGTTGTGCCAAACATTGTACCCTTCCTTGGGTGCAGTTACAGGGTTGGGACTGCTGATGCCTGAGATCTCAGATGCCCTGAAGTACTCTGCTACGCTGGGACCAGTACTGGGACCATGGTAGGCCCAGTGGCTCAGACTCGAGTAGATAGGGTCATCCCACCCCGGCTGCATTCCCTGGAGCAAGACAAGGAAGGCTCACACCAGGCAGGGCCACCCAGCGCCCCTTGGGGAGTAGTGCCTGCTCCAGCCCACAGTGGTGCACAGGGGACCATGGTCCCTCTTGCAGGTAATCGATGGCAACAGATTCTGATCGCTTTCATTATTATTATTATTTTCTTATGCATGTGCGCACAGGAGATTTATTACCAGCTATGGAGGCAAAATCAATTATTCATGTTATAAATTAGAAAATGATTTATGTTTGTGGGAGGCCAAGCAGTGTGGAGCCCCTGGCCACGTGGGAGCTGGGTTTGTCTGCAAATGGCACCAGACGCCCCTGCCAGCAGTTCCCCGGGCTTTCTGTCCCTGCCACACAGATGGGGTGCCCCCATCCCATCACAGCCCAGGGTGACCCAGGGATGGTGGCTGGCAGGGAACGCCCAGCCTCTCCTGCTTTTTCAAGCCAGGTGCCCTCAGACAAAGCCCAAGGAAGGCTGGGGACAGTGGTGGCCTGGTCACTCCGGCCAGTGTGGGAGGATGATGCTCCACAGCAGTTTCCATGGCAGCAGCAATATCGCGGTCCAAGCACTGCGAGGTGTGGGCTGTAGAAGGACCCCCTCTGTTTTTCCCGCTGGAGACATTCACATGTGTCCTCTCCAGCCCCAGAAGCTGTATCTGTGCTACTGTCTCACACAAAGGTCATGGTGGTACTCTCTAGACTGCTTGCCATGGGGACAAGGACCTATTGCACTGCTGACACCCCCATGCTCCTCAGAAAAGAGGAGAAAGCTGAGGGCAAGGGGGCAGCAGTGTAAAGGCACACGACTAGCACCAACCCCCGAGGCCAGTTACCCCAGACTGGGGCTGCAAGGCTTTGCTTGACTGCGGCCCACCTTCTGTGCTAAGGGGATCTCAGGTGTCCTGACAGTCTTCCCATTTGTGGAGACCCTATTCCCCAAGGGCGGATGATGTTCTGTACAGAGCAGGGTGGCACTGGGCTCCCAGGGCTGGGGCAGGGGCTAGCTGCTGCTGCCAGGTCTGCCCCCAGACACTCAGCCTGGTGAGCTGCAGCACCCCATGGCTCTGCACTGGGGGGCTAGCAGCCCCGTTCTGGCTGCCTTGGCATCCTAAACCTCACTGCCCATGTCACACAGCCAGTGGGCTGCTGGTAGCCAGGGCTGCTCTTCCTTCTGAAGAGTTTTGATCTAAAGCTGCTGTGCCTGTGTCTCCCTGGGGACAGCAGAGCGGGCTAGGAGTGCTGCCTGGCTCTCCTTATCTGTTCATCTGCAGCTGCGTCAACTGGGGCCGTGGGGAGGCACAGGCTGAAAGAAACAGCACAGGAGAGAAAGGAGCTGTCAGCGGCCCCAGATCTGGGTCTGATCACAGGCGAGCCATGCATCCAGCTCCTGCTCACGCACGTCCAGCTCTGGGAGGATCTCTGGCCCTTGGGATGGGAAGGAGAGGCAGCACAGGGCAACCTCAGCACTTCACTGGCACCCTGAGCAGCCTTTTCTCTCACAGCCTCTGAGCCTTGAAGCCTCCTCCCAGCACCAGAGAGCCTGTCACCCCCTGCAACCTCCAGGGCTCTGAGGGAGCTGAGAACTTTCTGGCTCAACCCACACATGGGAGTGTCAGAGGGTGCAGGGGTTAGGGTTAGGGTTAGGGCTAATGGCTGCCCCCCGCTCCCTGCCAGGCTGTGAGCAGGAGGAGCAATGACAGCCAGGCACAATCCTGGGGCACCTCTGCAGCCACACCAGCCCCCAGCCAGGCCTTAGGGCCCTCTGGGACTGCACCCTAGGTGCAGAGGAGTCTCTGCTTGCTCTGCTCTGACTGTAAAGCAGGCAGACAACCTGGGGAGGTCAGAGAAATGCTGCTGTGGCCTGGGACCCCACTGAGCTGTGGGCACTGGGCATCGCACTGAAATAAATGAGCCATGTTCCAGGGCCAAGCATCACCTCAGGTGCCTCACTGCATCCCAGTCCCCAGTCCCAGAGAGCTCAGTGCCACCCCATCCTCATGTGGGCATCCCTCTGATTTATTGCTGCAGAGCAAATGCTTACTGAGTGCTTTTGGCAGAGAAAAGCCCTGGGGAGCTGCAGCAGGCGCACAGAGGCAAGGAGGGAATTACCCAACTGCTGCAGCGTGTCAGGGGCACCCAGAGCACCCAGAGCCCTGGGTCTCTCCCCTACCCCCGTCCAGGGGACACACTCAGCCCATGGTCTGGGTCTGTGGAGAGCTCAGGGCTAGGATGGATTAGATCTGCTTTGCATTATTGCACCAAACACCTGGGGACTCGGCGCCTCGTGACAGTGCTGTATAATGTGGGGAAGCAGCTCGTGGTGCGGGCTGGTGCTGCCGGCGGCTGACAGGCAGGGAGAAGATTGCAGGCTGGTTGTGGAGGGGGAAGCTGAGATCTCTTGCTTCCCGTTTTCCTGCATATCTACAGTGAATAGGCGCAGAAGGCTGCACTTGTGCTGCAGGAATCAATACTGCTCCAGGAATGGCCTGGGTGCTCCTCCCTGCACTCCCTTGGGAGCCTGCCCCTCTCCCTGAGCTACCGCTGTTGCCTCCTTTGAGTTATTGTCTTGAATTCCAGCACTCTCAGCAGGACCATGCAGCAGCATGGTGTGGCTGGTGACAACCCTGGGACTGGGGATCTTGCTAACCCGAATAGCCTGGCTCCTTCAGGAGATGCAAGGGAATAAGCAAGAGAGACCTTCTGGGTAAGATCCAGGTTTTATCCTGACTCAAGGTAACCCCGGTTGGCACTGTGTCACAGCCTGCTCCATCGTGACCTATCCTGCCGTGGTCCCTAAGAGGTACCAGGGCACAGTGGCCAGCTCCGGAAAGCAGAGATGCTGCCAGGAGGCTGTTTCTGCCTGGCAGACAGTGCTCAGGGATGCTGCAACTGGAAGCAGCTCCAGATCTTGCCCAGTGCTGGCCATGGCAGTGCCACTGCATCAGGTGACAACTGCTGCTTCATGGGAAGGAATCTGGCAGCTTTCAATAGGCCGTGATTGAATTGATTCATCAGTGGGATCTACTTGGAGCTGATCAGTCTTTCAGGAGCCCTGGCAGAGGAGGCAGAGCTGGGCAGGCTGGGCATGTCCCTGCCTCCATGAAGTTGCATGGCTCCTCTGAAGCAGCTGGCTGCCCTGAGTGTGTACTGACCCCAAGGGTCCTGACAGCCCCAGATGGCTGCCACCAGTACCCCAGTTGTCCCCATAGCCTGTTTGCTCTTCCCCAGACACGGATACTGCCTGGGATGGCTGCAGCAGAGCCTGCTGTCCCTTCCCTGGTGAGACCCCCTAGCCAGGGAGCAGCAGCAAAGTGCTCCTTTCATTGAGGAACCCCATCGCCCCTGGCTCCATTGCAGTGCCGCTGCAGGCACTCCTCAAGCCTCCTGTCCCGGGGCAGGGCAGTCCCCAGGATAAGATTGGCACTGGTGCATCTCTGTGTCAGCCACAGCTCCAGGATCACAAGGCAGGACAAGTCCAGACCAACCCATGGGGTGTGGGGGACTGCCCTCACTCCCCTACCCTGCACCCCAGCAAGGAAAAGCAGGGACAACAGGGACCATGAGGCGGGAGACGAGCACGGGCAGATCCGGTTACAGTCATCACGGGGCAGAGAGATAGGCAGAGAACAGCAATGCAGCAAAAAGGGCTTTTAGTGATAATAAATAATTAACATTTCTAATGATGTCCCGGCGACAGGAAGAGTCCACGCAGGGACCCGGGGGCACTGCGCACGGTGACAGGAGCAGCGGGGGAACTTGCATGGACTGGGAAGGCACTGCAGAGCCCGGGGCTGTGATGGGAGAGACACGCAGGGCTGGGGGTCCCAGGGCAGGAGCTGGGCACCCCTGAGTGGGCAGCACATAGGGCCCAGCCTTTGCACTCTGCTGCTGCCTATGGTGAGGTAAATGCTGGGGGGAAATTAAACACGCTTCAGGGTTGACCTGCCCTCTGATCAACTGGAGCCATAAGATAATGCTGCTCCAGGGGTTCTGGTGCCTGGTGAGCACCTGAAATAGACCTGGCTGGCAGGAGGAGGGGACATGGGAAGGGTGCTGGGAGGCAGCAGCTCACTGGGGTCTGCTGGGATGGGTGGCAGTCACCACGGCACTGCCAACCCTGGCACAAAATTCCCCAGACTGGGAGCTTTCCGGGCACAGGGAGCAGTGAGCTGGCCTGGGATGCAGGACCAGGGCAGGCAGGGGTTCATGGGCAAGGCAGGTCAGGCACTGCAGGACAGTGACAGGAAGAGGACAGCAGGGAGAATAGGGACCAAGGGAGGAGGCCTCTGAGTGTGGGAGTCCATCGCTGTGAGCCACCACACCATGGGCATGCAGTCATGGGAGAGGGAAAAGCGGTCGTAGGAGGAATGAGGGGAGGCATTTTTGGCAGCGCTGGCAACTTGCCTGTGGCCCTGCATAGGCACCAGGGAACCTGCCTGTGCTGGAGCCAGTCTGGGAGAGGAGCAGGGACATCACAGGGGATGGCAGGGCCCAAGGAACCCATGATGGGAGGACAGCGGCTCATGCCCAGCACTGCGCAGGCTGCAGGGGAACAGAGCACTCACTATAAATACATCAGCGGGGTAAATGCCAGGGAGGAGGAGAAGAGCTATTTCAGCTAAAAGACAATGTTAGCACAGGAATGACTGGGGATAAGTTATCCATGAATATATTTAGGGTGGAAATTAGACCCCCAGAGCAGGAAGGTCCCAGCACAGTCTCTCCAGAGAAGGAAGCAGGGCCGGGCAGGAGCTGGGGTCGATGACTGAGGGATTCTGTAGCAGTGACAGCACGTGCCCACTTCTAGTGTCAAAAAGCAGCAAGGGTGGCTGGTGCAGCCCGCCTGGCTGTGCTGGTGGGTGCAACAAGCAGCAGCATGTAGAGCAGCATGTGTGGTAGGGTGCATGTGCAGCACTGCATGCATTTGTGAGTGCAGATGTGTGTGTGTGCACGGGCTGTGAGCATGTTTTGTCAGTGCACTGAATGCTTACACACGTGTGTGCACAGAGAGTGTGTGCAGACAGGGCAGGTGCACACAGACTGTTGCATGTGTGCATGTAGGTGCATGTGAGCGTGCTGGCAGTGTGTGTGTGTGCTGTGCACGCATCAGGCTGTGTGCAGGTGTCTTGGCCTTCACAATGCTCTAGAAAGAGGAACAGCCCCAGTGATGTATTCTGGAAGTTAGTGCCTTGAGTCAGCACTGCTGTGCTTACCTGCACCCAGTTTGTGTTGCACCATCTGGAATGTGCTGGAGGAGACAGACTGGGAGCTCCATGAATCCAGCTGATCCTGGGCAGGTTCCTGTCCTGCAGAGAGTCCCCCAGCTCACAGAGCAGTGCTGTCCCTGTGAGGGCCATGGGGGTCACCTGGCATTACCACCCCACAGGCTCACCCTGGCTGGCCAGAGCACTTGGCACTGCCAGCTACCAGCCCTGTGCCACACCTCTGCCCATTGCAATGCAAGGAAAGGTCCCCAGCATCCTGCTCCCTTCTATCTAGAGAGATTCCACCTTGGCCTTGGCAGATGAGTCACCAGGCACAAGGATGCAGTTTCAGGGCTGCTGGCTACAGGAGGGTCCCCTCTCCCAGGGGGCTGTGTCAGCGTGGAGTGGGCAAGCACCCCAAGAGCAAGGGCTAGGGAAAGCCAGGACACCTCCACTCTGGGGATGGGAAAGGGGGATCCCAGGTGTGCGAGGAGGTGGCTGGAGCTCAGGCTGGCCCCAGCTCAGCTGAAATGCCTCCCGCCGCCTGCTTGCAGCCCTGGGTGGATCACAGCAGCTCCCTTCCCCCCGCAGCGTGTCTGGCTGCTGCTCGCTCTAATTTCCTGTGCATTGTCCCCACCACCACCACTGTCCCCTGCGCATCCCACCGTGTGCCACACTGCACAGGCAGGCTTCCTAAGCCCTGCCTCTCTGCCCGCCAACATCCCCACATGCATCCCAGCTCATTTCACTGGTGCTCTGTGCTCCCTCCACAGCTCCCTGCAGAGACTCGTGTTCCACACCAGGGTGCTTTCCATATCATGCTTCACATGCAGGCAGAGGGGTGGGACGGAGACAGCTGGGCCATCATGGGGCACAAAGACTGATTCAGGGCTGTGGCTTATGGCCATGGCAGTTGTGCATGCTGGTGCTCTGGGTGCCCAGAGAAACATCTTAGCCCAGTGAGGTGGCAGCATCCATGGGAAGGCAGTGAAGGCCTCCAACAGTTGGCATTCGTGAGCACCTTGCAGCCCCACAAGTGGAAAATCACCCCGCTGGATGTTGGTAGCATGGGCAGGGGGCTGTAGCATGCAAGGCCCTCTCAGCATGTGTGTCCCACATGCACACAGCCTGCCTGTGTCTGCTGATGAATGTGCATCCACTCAGAGCCAGGGCTGAGCAGACCCCATGTGCTGGCACACTGGGTTTGAGGCCCCCAGGGAGCCGATGTGCCCAACACAAGTCGCAGTCTTGGCACGCTCAAGCTGGCTTCCTGCTGGCCTTTGTGTTCTGTACCTGCCAGTCGCAGGGAAAGCACGGGGAGCCGGCTTGCAGAGTTTGTGTTGATAATTACCCAGGAGGTTACTAAATCTGGGATGAGCTGATGAGTGAGCAGAGGGGGTGCTTGCTCTGAGCACACACGTGCGTGCAGGGCTGCAGCCAGGTACTGCAGCTGCAGGCCACAGGCAGGCAGAGTGTACCCACAGCTCTGGGTGGCATGAGAACACATAAGCACAGCACTGCACGTATGTGGTGTTCAGATCGGCCTCTTAGAGAGAGGGTCATTAGAAACGAAGTCAAGTGGTACTTGATGGCCACGTGGAACCACCTTTGTGGGAAATCATCACTGTGACTGGAGAGCTCTTGAATACAGCAGGGAGAAAAGAACTGGGAGCAACAGGCAGAAGCTGTAGCCAGACATGTCTGAATGAGAAATAAGAGTTTTGGTAAGGCAGGTGATTAGCCACTTGAAGCAGCCCAAACAGCATGGGCTCCTGCTGTCTTTCAGCATGTCTCTTGCTGTCTCCTGCTGTTTCTCCTGGTCCACACCCCAGACTCTGTGCTGGGGCACCCCCAGACATGCTTCTTTGAGGTGACCTGGTAGCCTTGTGCCCTGCCAGTGCTGACTCTCCCACAGATAAGTTCTGCATCCAAAGACACACGAAGAGTTCTGTGTCCAGTGCCGCAGCAGCCACACGTGTCAGGGAAGGTTGCAGGCTAACTGCTGTCCTGCCTCAGGCACCCACTGACTACAAGATTTTGGCCAAGTCAGTGCCATGCATGGCCTGAGAGGCCTTTACCACTGTTCAGACTGGCTGCCAGGGCGCAGCCACTCCTGGGGTCCCTGCAGAGGTGGGTGACTGCACAGTGATGGCACAGGCAGGGTACTGAGCCCTAAAGGTGTAGCTAGGTGCTGCAGTATGGGAGATGTCTCCCTCCATTCCCTTCCATGCCCTCAACTGGACAGCTCTGTAAGGCATACCCTCAGTGTGACCAGACCAGGGCAGGTCCCTGGCTCTGCTCTCCCCATCTCTCCAGCTGCTTTTACAGCGGGTGTGAGCCGTGCCCTGAGTGCCACCCACCCCGCAGCACCTCTGGGGGTGCAGCTCCTCTCCTGGGGGCGGCAGCTCCCCACCGCCGCTCGGGCTGCCCGGGGAGCGATGCCCCGCTCACCCCGGAGCCCCACCGTCACTTCCATCCCGGCGGGCTCAGTGCCCAGAGCGGCACCCCACATCAAGACCCCCACAGCATCCCGGCTCTATGGGAGCAGTAAATCAGGGCGGCGCGGCCCCACCTCCGCGCTCTCCATTGGCAGCGGCGCCCCTCGCCCCGCTCATTGGCGCTGCTGCCGCCGCCCAGCGCTACATAAGGCGCCGCTCGGCCGGGCCGCCCTTGTCGGAAGCCGGGAGCGGCAGAGCCGGCTGCGGCGAGGCAGGCGCGGCGGGATGCGGTCCCGCCGCCGCGGGGGGGGCGGGCAGCCCCCCTGGCCCGTGAGTACGGAGCGGGGGGTGCCCGTCCGTGAAGTTTCCCGGGGCTGTGTTCAACTCTGGCGCGGTCACCGGCCCGCGGAGAAGTTGGTGGCGGGCGGAGCGGCACCGCAGCCTGCCCCGCGGCGTGCAGGGGATGCGGGAGGAAGGGGGATGAAGGGACGGGGATGGAAGGATGCTGGGCTGCGAGAGGCTGGGCTCTGGAGGATGGAGCGGTGGCCAGGGCTGTGGGCTGGGACTGGGGAGCGCTGACAGGGTACCGGGGTGGTGGGAAGCAAGGGACAGCTCTTCTTCATAGGGACAGTTGTGCTCGGTCACGATTGAGCCTGTGCAGGGGCTGGGGATGTGGGAAGAGGGGTCCAGCTGTGCATCTGCCTGTGTGGGAAGGGGCTGTCTGGGTGCTGGTGGGTCTGAGCCTCCCAAGGATCTGATGTCTCTCTGGGCTGAGCTCAGAGGCTAAGGTGACTCCTCATCTCCACACTGCATTAGCTGCTGCTGCCTGAGCCCCAGCATACCAGATCTGGTGCTGAGGAGTCCTGCATGGGATGAGCCAGCCAGCAACTGGGGGCTTTGGGCCCATCACAAGTGTCCATGATGGAATGCATGAACAGACAAGGGGCTGTGAGAGGGGTGTGTGAGGCAGCAGTGCTGAGCCCATGGAAGCAGCAGGAGCAAAGCTCATGGGCTTTGGCCAGAGCAGGGGCACTGCAGGGGCTGGGCTGCTTAGGGCTGAGACGCTGTGGAGGAGTCACTGCTGTGTCCCTGGGCAGCCCGGCTGCTGTGGGAGAGGGGCTGTGTGTCTGCGGGACGTCTCCTGCCTGTTCTCTGCCCTGGCAGGTACAGCTGTGGCAGCCTGGGAATGGCAGGAACAGGAATATGGTGTTACTGGGGCATATGCAGCATGATGTTATGGGGTGCTGTGATGTGGCTCTGTTGCCGCTGCTTTGGGGTGCCTTTGGGGTGTGATGAGGCCCCTGCTGCACGATGTCACGCAATGTCACAGTGGCGCTGGAGGTGGCTGCGGCCTGGGGTGGGATGTCCCTGCAGTGGTGGAGCATGGTGTCCCTGGGGTGTGCGGTGTGGTGGGCAGCAGGGACACAGTGGCATGCGGGATGGAGCAACTGTGCAGAGAACCAGCTCCCACCCACCTCATGATGCAGGCCAAGGGCTGGAGATGTGCATGTAGGTGCATGAGGAGCCCTGGGGACAGCATCCCTCCACCTCTAGTGAGGAGTCTGGGTCTGCCTGCCCCACAGCTCCTTTCCCAGTCCCGTCTCACCCTTCCCACAAGGCATTGCCAGCCACAGCCATGTGTGAGGATAGATGAGCCCTACATGCTGCATCCCTGCCATGGGGCCAGCACCCTGTCCTTGACTGCCTGGCTGTACCCTTCATGGGTGGCCATGGCACCCCTGCCCTGCTCCCATCCTCCAGCTGCCTCTACCCTTGCCTGGCACCTTGGTTTGGTGTCACCAGGCTTAGACGTGCTGAGCAGGCACCCTGGGCTGACCACAGCTCCTGGGGTGACCTTGCCACCAGATGCCACAACACAAACCAGGACATGCTGGGACAAGAAAGATTGAGCTCTTCTTCCCTGCATAGAAGCAGGACCCTATAGCCTCAAACCTCAGGTGGAGATTCGGTGCCATTAGCAGCATGCTGGGAGCCATGAGGTCTTTCCTGTCTGCCAAATAGCCTGAGCTTCCCTTCCCATTCCCAAAATGTCCTGGCTCTGGGCCGTGCATCCCTTCCTCATGGCACTGAGCTCCGGATCACTGGGAAAAGCCTTTTGTCTCCAATCAGGAACATTGTTTCCTCCTGGAAAGGCTCCACCCAACTTGGAGGGATTTTGGGTGCAGCTGGATGGGCTGTGGGGGGCAACCTGGGGAGCAGGCCAAGCCATGGGGAGTGGGAGCTGGAGAAGGGGGGCAGAGCAGAGAAAGCCTTAATTATGTCCTGTGGACAGGGCCCCATCACCTGGCTGGGGATGAAGGGCACTGCTCTGCATGAGCAGGGGTCTGCATGGCAACCTTGCACCTATTTGTCCTCATGTGTGTGGCTCTTCCCCATGCCTGCTTCAGTGGCAAAGACTCCTCTCCCTCACTGCCTTTCACTGGGGAGTGACAGCCAGGGACTGTCCCATCCCTGTGCAACCCAATGGAACCCCAGCCCCATTGCATGTGCCTTGCATGGGGCACTTACAGTGGGATGCAAGGCTCTGGGTGTGTTGGGCAGTGGGACTCAAGGCTTCTTCTGCAGCTGGAGGACAGTCCCTTCCCACCCAGCCAGGTGGGCATGGAGGGTATTTGGTTGTGGCAGGGGAATTCTGGCCCCTAAAGACCCTTGGGACCATTTCCATCCCCAGGAGAGGCAGCAGCAGGCTGTTCCCCACAGCCTGGTGGGTCTGCAGGATCTAAGCCTTGAGCACCTTCCTGTCTCCAAGACGGACACATGTGGCACCATGCAGCTGTCGCAGCTCCCTGTGCTCGCTGACAGGGCCCACAGCATGGGACCGTTCACCCCTGTCCCCCTTGCCAGTGCTAGGGGGCAGCCCTGCTTAGGGAAAGGAGCAGTGTCCCGACCTTGATGGCCGGGTGCACCAGCCGTTCCTCCAGTCTGTGAGTGGGACAGGCTGGCTTTGCTCCCAGCTGGAGTTCTGGCACGTGGGGCTGCAAAGGTTGGTGCTGGGTTCTTCTCCTCTGGAGGGGGTTGCCTGGCCTGTGGTGGGGGCTGCCTGTCCTGAGTGCCACCTTCTTTGTCACCTGTGCTACAGCCAGGTCAGAGCCAGCTACAAACTCTCTGCAGCCTTGCCAGCAGTGCTGGCAGGCACTGTCCTCCGCAGTCCAGGTTAATTGAGCCTCTCTTCCCAGGCTTCTGTTCCTCCCAGCATCTCCATCCTGCAGCCGCATGCCTGTGCAAAAACCCTCCCTGGCCAGGCTGGGAGGAGCTCACCCTGCAGAGACCCTGGGAGAAACTGTGCCTGCAGGGTGGGAAACTGAGGCATGCAAGAGTCACCCAGCAGAGTATCCCCATGTTCTCCCCATGGCTTTCCCCAGCTCTGGACAGGGGAAAAGCTCCCCAGCCTGGCAACTCCTGGCTTCCTCTGGTCCTGCCACAGGAGCAGTGATTGGCATCGTGACTTGCCAGGATCTTGGGTGCCAGCAGCCCCTTGGGGTAGGGCAAGCTGAGGCTGAGTTCAGCTTCATCAGCACCCTGCAGCCCTCTTGCTGCCTTCTCAGTCCCTCCCATGGGCTGGGTTCCCAAGGTCCCACTCCTGCTCAGCCCTGGCTCCCAGCTCATTGGAGTACAGTCTTATTCCAAAGAAGCCCCAAAGGTGAGTTGAACCCAGCAGGGCCCATGCATGGGGATGCCAGAAGTGTGGCAGTGCCCAAGGATCAGGGGGCTGGTGGCGTGGCATAGGCGGGTGACAAGGAGTGGAAAGATACTGTCTCCTATGCAAGGCTGGTAGAGATGCTTGGGCACTGTGGAGCAGGGTCTCCTGGATTTGATGGGCTGCAGGTCTCTCCCAGGTGCCCAGGATGCTGGTGCTGTGCCTGCTGTCCCTGGCCTGGCTCAGCGAGGGCTCCCAGCGCAGTGAGCCCATGTTCACGGCCGTCACTCACCGCCTCCTCCCACCTGACTACGACAGCAACCCCACACAGCTCAACTATGGCGTGGCTGTCACTGACCTGGATGCTGACGGTGACTTCGAGATCGTCGTGGCAGGGTGAGTGATGCACCCAGCACCTCGGTGACAGCAGGACCTGGTGGCCTGGTAGGGCCAAGAGCATCTCACTCTTCAGCAGGCACGTGACTGGTTGAGGGTTGTGCTCAAGCATGGAGAGATGGGGGTCTGCGTGCACCCACGAATGTGTGCACCCACGAATGTGTGCACCCACGCAGGGCGTAGATACCAACTGGGATGCTGCCTGTGCAGGAGGTGTCCCCATTTTGGCTCCAGGTCCCTCTGGCTCAGTGTAGCTGCCCAGTGGCTGGGGTCCATCCTGCAGTGTAGAGCATGTGTGTCCCAGGCTGGCTTTGCCCTGCTGACAGGACTCGGTGCTCTCTGGAGATCTGGTTCATTGGCTGGAGGGTTTTTATAGCCCTTTATTGGAGTGGTGGCTCGGAAGGGTTCACAGGAGCAGGGGAGGCAGGGAGCTGTGTGCCACACTGCCTGCGCCCAAGCGGGGCTGGGCACAGGGCAGCTACTGCCAGCAAGTCTGGCCCTAGCAGGGATCATGGTGCAGGCTCTGTGTGTGTGCTGGCACGGCTGTGAGCTATGTGTCTTTGTACACAACACTGTGAACATCCCGAGGGAGGCTTGCACATGCAGGGAGCCCCTCACTCCTATAGATCACATCCATTGGAGCTGTGGGAGCTGAGGGCCCCACAGTGGTGGGCAGAGTCTGACCCTGCTGCTGCTCTAAGCATCACCCTGGAGCAGCAAACCACAGGCAGCACTGGGGAGCCCAGGGCAGCCTGGGCCACCACTCCCAGTTGGGCTGAGCCAAGCAGCTGGATGGGGTTTTATAAGCACCACAGTGCCTGTTGTATAACTTGTTTACCAGTGCACGGGGCAGGAGCAGGCGGGGAGTCAGTGGGGCGCACCATGCTGGGAGGATTTGCCTTGTGTACTACTTTCCGTGCCTTGGGAAAGGGCTGCAAGCCAGAACCTGCACCTCGTCCTTTCCTGCTTGCTGCCCCGACCCCACCTTTGTCCTGGCATTGCCCTGCGGTACCCAGGCTGGGTAGAGAGAGGATGCTTGACATGAGCTGGAGCAAGTCCAGGCTAAGCCCTCCCCATTGGCAGCCAGAAGCCAGCCTCATGTTTGGGTGCTGAGGGCAGCCCAGGGTCCCTGGCCTCCATGGACCACACGGGTCATCATTGTCCCTGTCATGGGGAAACCTGATGTCACATGCTGTGTCTCCCCCCCTCGAGGGGTGGGATGGGGAGTTTCATCCTGTTCCCAAGTCTTGAGTGGGCATCACCCCTGCTCGCACCCTCAGGTACAATGGCCCCAACCTGGTGCTCAAGTACGATAAGCTTCGGGGACGGCTGGTGAACGTGGCGGAGGACGAGCAGGGCTCCCCATACTACGCACTGCGGGACCGGCAGGGCAATGCCATTGGTGTGACAGCCTGTGACATCGATGGGGATGGCCGTGAGGAGATCTACTTCCTCAACACCAACAATGCCTTCTCCGGTGAGCCCTGCCAGCGGCCGTGCCCCGAGGCCTGGCATGGGGGGAGCTCCCAGCACAGCTGCCCATGACCTTCTGCATGTGAGGGATGTGTGTGAGCTGGAGTTAATTTCTCAGTTGAGTGGCTCCATTGATTGATGGCAATGCAGATGGATGCTGAGCCTGGCCAGCCACTGAGTCAGCACTTCCAGCTGCCCACCACCCTCCTGGTGGCACCCTGAGTGGGACAGCAGCTTTCCCACCATCCCTGGGGATGCACATCCCCACTGTGCCCTGCAGCAGCTGTGCCCCTCTGTGCTATGGCTCTCCAGTGCCTGCTGGACCAAGCCAGGTCTAATCCTACCCTGCTGGTGCTGTCCCAGCTCCTGGGATGCCTTTTCGGGGGAGGTGGCCCGTGTGGTGTGGTCCAGCCCAGCACCAGGCATCCAGGAGCTCTCTGGGGCAGTGCTCCAGCCCTGTGTCCCTGTTGCACAGCCCTGACCTCCAGGCAGCAGATCCGTCTTCCTGACGCTCCTAATTACCCATGGCCACTGGCACACCAGTCCCTAAATCAGTGCTGCCATTGGTGCTGTCATGGCAGCACGGCTCACTGCCTGTGCCTGGCACTCAATCGATTTCTTACCTTCCCAGGGATGATCTACAGGGCTGTGCCCTGCTGGCACACATTTTATCTTAATGAGTTGATTCTTCTGTGTGTCTCCTGGCGACCCTTAAGGGTCATGGGGACTCTTGCAGTGGTAGCTCTGTCCTGTGGTGCTGCTGGGGGCTGCAGAGGACAGAGCAGAGGTTTGGGATGCTGTGGGAAGTGGAAAAAAGGTCCTGCTTCTGCAGCCTTCCCTTGCTGCAGGGCATCCTCTTTGGGAGGAGGTGGAACACTGCAGCCCCTGACCCATGTCCCCCACCTCCCCAGGCATGGCCACCTACACAGACAAGCTCTTCAAGCTCCGCAATGGGCGCTGGGAGGACCTCCTGAGTGATGAGGTGAACCGGGGCGTGGCCAGCCGCTTTGCCGGGCGCTCCGTCGCCTGTGTGGACCGGATGGTGAGCAAGCAGCGCATGGTGGGCAGGTGGCATCTCCATTCCCTTCCCTTCCCACGGCCGTGCCCCTCCAGCCCTTCCTTGTAGGGTCCCAGGGGATCTTTCCCCTCAGCACCAGCCTCATCCCACCCCAAACCGGGGTCGGGGTGCCCCCCAGAATCCCATGCCTGTCAGGGCTGGCAGCCCCCCCAGCTGTGGAGACTGCAGGCGGCTGTCCACACACTTGCTGCCAGCTGAGAAACGTGCTTGTCAAAGTGATTTATGTTCCTGTCACCTGCTCTTTCTTCTTCCTCCTCCTCCAGCGGTTTGTTTCCAAACGATTATCACTAAATCAGGGTCCAGCTGCTGCACGGGACAAGGGGTACAGTGGGGATGGGGAAGGGACCTAGCACATCACAGATGCTGGGGCGGGGGGGTCAGGGTGCCCTGTGCCTACACCATGAACCTGGGACCACAGAGCTCCTGGAGGCAGTGGGGCACATCCCCACTCCCGGAGTGCTTTCCAGCATAGGCTTTGCAGAGCACGTTCTCAGCACACGGTTGTGGTGCCTGGCTCCATGGAGCTGTGAGAGCATCCAACCCCTGGCAGGGAGTGTGGTCCCCGTGGAGGTGGGGTTTGGGTGAGTGAGTGCTGAGGAGGTGCCACCGGCCGCAGGGCTCCGGCAGGTACTCCATCTACATCGCCAACTACGCCAGCGGCAACGTGGGCCCCCACTCGCTGATCGAGATGGATGTGGCTGCCAGTGACCCTGCCCGCGGCGTCGTGGTGCTGGTGGACGTGGCCGCGCAGGCTGGCGTCAGCAAATACACAGGTACCGGCTGCTGCGGGCCGCAGGACGGGTCGGGGCGCTGCGGGGCACGGTGAGCGCGGGGCCCCGTGGCAGGCCGGGCAGCGGGCAGTGCCATGCGTTAGGCTGCCTGACTGCCCCATCTAGTGGCAGCCCCACGGCCAGTGGGAGGGACCAGGGTCACGGCATGCCCTCCTGGGCTGCCCCATCGCCTGGGCTGATGCCCGAGGGTCTATGGGCACTGGAGTGGGGCAGTGGAGAGCCTGCGCCCGTGCTGCCTGACTGCCGCGGCAGCCGCTACCGTGCCCAGTCTCCCCAGCGGTAAATTGTCACTGATTAGGAGTGTTGTCACCATGGCGATGGCAGTTGCTTAGGGTGGGGATGACACAAGCCGCTGCCAGACTCAATTAGCTCCTGATGAGACCGATTAAAGTGGGAGGTGGGCAAGGAGGGCACTCTGGGTGGACAGCACCGACGGGGTTTGGGAAGCATGAACTCCCCTGGGGAAGGGTACCCACTGTCCCCTCACTCCCGTGCTCCTGTCCCCAGGGGGCCGTGGTCTGGCCGTGGGCCCCATCCTGAGTGACAGCGCCTCTGACATATTCTGTGGTAATGAGAACAGCCCCAACTTCCTCTTCCACAACCGCGGGGATGGAACGTACCGGGATGTGGCAGCTGCTGTGGGTGAGTAGGGGGAGCCGGGGGGAGCAGCCAGGTTTTAGGGACCTCAGAGCAGGGCTGACTGCCTGTCACCCCCTGCATGGGCTGGTTGAGAGCAGGGTGGAGGGGCAGTGCTGGGGACCCAGAGCCCTGCTGGCCACTGGGGTGCCTGGGGTGCACCAGGGCATCCAACAGTGCAGGGATGCAGCCCTGCACAGGGAGGACCCATGTGGGGACCGTGGGGCACATCCTGGGAGGTATCCCTGGGAGACAGAGTCAGGAAGGGAGTCCTGTCTCCCCCCCATCCCCTTGCGGCTCCCCAGGGCTGGATGACCCCTACCAGCATGGACGTGGCGTGGCGCTGGCTGACTTCAACCGCGATGGTCGGGTGGACATTGTCCATGGCAACTGGAACGGGCCACACCGCCTCTACCTGCAGACTGGGGCCCCCGGGCGCGTCCGATTCCGGGTGAGGGCCCCCCACTGCCATTGAGCCTCCCTGGCTGGGATGGCTGTCTTCACCCTGATTTGGCTTTGAGCCCAATTCCCAGCGAGAAGGGCACGCAACATCTCACAAAGGGGGACCCAGCATCTCACTCCCTGTGCCCACCACTCATGCAGGACATCGCCACCCCCAAGTTCTCCATGCCGTCCCCTGTCCGCACTGTCATCGCAGCAGACTTTGACAACGACCAGGAGCTGGAGGTTTTCTTCAACAACATTGCTTACCGCGGCTCCTCTGCCAACCGCCTCTTCAGGTAGGAGCCTGGCAGGTACCAGAGGGCTGGGGCAGCGTGCACCCCGCCCCGGGGGGTGAACAGCCCTGGAGGCACAGCCAGGCTCATGGGGCTCCTCTCCAGCAGTGGCATTGCCTGGGCTCTGCTAATAAAGGGTGCCGTGACTGAGCCTTTCCCAGTATCATTACCAGCCGCTGTGATCGTGTCCGCAGCAGCCCCTTGGGTCCCCAGCACTGCTGATTAGCCGTTGCATGGAAACTTGCTCCTGGCTCCTGTTAATCACGGGGGTCAATTCCTTGTTGCCACTGTCTGGGACCTCCTTGCCTGGCGTGTGGGGTGGGGGGAAGCTGGTTGTACACCCAGTGCTGGCACATGTGGGTGGGTGGAGGTTAGTAGTGTGGCAGGTTGACCCTGGGGAAGGGGAGTGTCTCCACTGCTGGTGGGATGCAGCAGTGTTTGAAAATGGCATTTCTGCTCTGCAGAAAAGCCAGGCTCTTACGGCATCCCTGTCGCCCCTGCATGGAGCAGGGATGTGAGGTGCCAACAGGCAGGGACCAGTCCTGTTCCCCGTTCACCCTGCATAGCCACTGGGGCTGTCACCTCTCTACCATGCTGCTGCACAAGACAGGCACTTCTTGGGAAGGTGCTGGGGATCATGTGGTCTGGGACTAACACCCTGTCTGTGATTGGCAGGCTCATCCGCAGGGAGCACTCGGACCCCATCATGGAAGAGCTGAATCCAGGAGATGCGCTGGAGCCCGAGGGACGAGGCACGGGTGGGTCTCTCCAGCCCTGGCAGTGGGGGCCCATGCTGGGGATATGCCACAGGACCACTTCTATGCTCTATGCCTGGGCATGCCACATGCCTGGCTGAGTCACCTGCCTGCTCCCCACCAGCATCCTGTAGCCCCCATCACCCAGGAGCAGCCCCATGCTTTCTCTGTCTGCTCATGCCCAGCTAACAGTGCCATCTCCAGTTGCTCCCCAGGGTTTTACTCTTGGGGAGCTCCTTCCTGGATGCCCACTGTTCAAAGCCAACCTCTGTGTTTGGGAGGGGGTGAGGCAGTCTCTTGTGTCCTACAGCCCCCCATGCACTGCATGTCCCCTTCACTGCCTGGGGAGCCAATCCACCTGAATGCAGAATGCCACACACATAGGGACCCTTACTCCTGCACTGGGGTCTCCCCATCTTCTCTATTGACCTTGCATTGCTGGGAGTGCATATTAGGAAAAATTTCTTCACCACAAGGGTGATCAGATACCGGAAAGGCTTCCCAGAGAAGTGGTGGAGTCACTATTCCTGGAAGCATTCAAAAAACATGTAGATGAGGCCCTCAGTGACATGGTTTGGTGGTGGAATTGCAGTCCTTGGACTTGATCTTAAAGGTCTTTTCCAACCTAGTTGATTCTATGAATGCTGTTGTCACCTGTGGAGCCCACACCAGCAGAAGGTTGTAATGCTGGGAGATATGGGGCTGGGTCCCAGGCATGACATGATCCTGTCTTTGCAGGGGGTGCAGTGACGGATTTTGATGGCGATGGGATGCTGGACCTCATCCTATCCCATGGAGAGTCCACGGCACAGCCAATCTCCATCTTCAAGGGCACCCAGGTGAGTCAAGCAGGGGGTTTTCACATCATCCCCAACCCTTCCACCTCTCCTTGCTCAGTGTCCCTGCTCCCTCCTCCCTTGCAGGGCACCAACAACAACTGGCTGCGCGTGATCCCGCGCACCCGCTTCGGGGCCTTTGCGCGGGGGGCCAAGGTGGTGCTGTTCACACGGCGCAGCGGGGCCCACCTGCGCATCATCGACGGCGGGTCCGGGTACCTCTGTGAGATGGAGCCCGTGGCGCACTTCGGACTGGGTGAGCAAGGGGCTGCCAACAGCCCCAGCCTTCCACCCTGCTCAGGGGCCAGGTCTGCTGCTGCAGCGCCCTACAGCACGGTAGTCACCTATGACCATTGGTTCATGTGCACCCCTTGGGCTACAGCCTCGTGCATGGGCTGTCAGCATGGGCACCTGGGGCAAGGGCAGGCTTTGTCCCTCCATCCCTACCACCCCCTGGCCTCCTTTCAGCCCCTGCCCGCCCCGGAGACCCCCCCTCTGACGGGCTGCCCGCCTGCAGGGCACGACAAGCCCAGCAGCCTGGAGGTGACCTGGCCGGATGGCCGCGTTGTGTCACGACCAGTGGCCAGCAGTGAAACCAACTCTGTCCTGGAGGTCCCCTACCCCCTGGACACGGAGGAGCCGCTTGTGCCTGCCCCACTCGAGGTGAGGGCCAGCCATGTGTGCAGGGTGGGAGGCTCTGGGGGTAGGAATGAGGGGCTGGGCTCTGCTGGCTCTGTGGCTGCCCAGGGCTGATTTCTCCCCATCCTGGCGGTTTCCACTTCTCCCCAAATGCAGTGCGGGCAGGGATTCTCCCAGCACGAGAATGGACGCTGTGTAGGTGAGTGGCTGCCAGGGGCATAGGCTATAGAGGGGGACTGTGGTGTCACAGGGAGGGGGGAGAGCGTGGTGCCAGGAGCATGGCTGGCATGCAGCAGGCATTGTGCTAGAGCATCAAGCAATGGGGGGCAGCAGGGATGTGGCAGGGAGGCAGTGCTATGAGCCTCCTAGGCAGATGCATGGCCTGTGTGACTACATCTAGGGAGGCATCCAGCATGTGCAGGGGGAACTGGAAGGGCCATGGCTGGCAGCCCCAGGCTCCCAGCCCAGCCATCTCACACCAAGGCCCCTCTGCTTGCAGACACAAATGAATGCACCGAGTTTCCCTTTGTTTGCCCCCGGGACAAGCCTGTCTGCATTAACACCTACGGCGCGTACCGCTGCCGCAGCAACAAGCGCTGCGGACGGGGCTTCGAGCCCAATGAGGATGGCACAGCTTGCGTGGGTGAGTGATGGCTGGGACCCTGAACCCCATGCCACTGCAGCCTGGCAAAGTCCATAGGCACCCCTTGGGATGCTGCTGCACCCTTGCCAAAGGCTTGGCTGCACCCTGCAAGCTGCTGGTGGTTGCACAGCCACATCCACCCTGGCTCCCTATCTGTTTGTCCTGTGCCTCCTGCTGAGCTGCCACTGACTCCCCTTCCCTCTTTCTCTCTTGCTCCTTCTCTCCTTCTCTGTGCAGCTCAAGTGGCCTTTTTTGGGGGATACCCCTCCACTGGGAGCTGGCCCAGGCTCCCCCAGAGCGCTCCCCTCCCTCTGGTCCTTGGACTCTGCCTTTGCCTCTATGCACTTTAAGCCCTTCCTGTAACACGCCAGAGCAGCCTTGGCAGAAGGACTGGCCAGCCTCTGCCTGTCTCTCCTTTTCTCTCTCCATGTCGAGCTGCCCTGGAAGTGCCGGCTGTGCCCTACAGGGGTGGCCTGTGGTGGGAGGGGGATGGAGCCCAGCTGTTCCTTTGCACCTTGTTTGGGGATGGAAGCTCCCTTGCCCAGCACTGCCCCTGCCCTGCCGGCACTTCTCGGGCTGGTCGCTTGCTCCGTCGCCTCGATACTGTACCATGTGCCTGCTGGTTTGGCCTGCGACGTGTGTGCTTCGCCTACCCCCTTCTCGGTATGGGGACCACCTCCCCAGCCCTGGCAGAGGAGGGTCCCCCCGGCCCTGCAGGGGAAGGACCCTTCTGGTCTGTTTTTTAACGTATTGACCCCGCTGTTTGGAGTCTGACCCTGCTCAGTCTTCCAGCCCCTCTCCCAGAGAACCCCCTCAATAAACTATATCCAGTCTATCAACCCAAACTGCTGAGCTGTGCGGTGCAGGGTTGTGCCCAAGCTTCTGTCCCTCCTGCTCTGGGGCTTTATGGGGACAGAGCCCCACAGTAGCCCTGGGCAGCTCTGCCCCTGCCCATCCTTGCTTCCAGCCATGGGACTATGGGCACATGTGCAGCACGGGAGGGACCGGGTGCTCACACCCCAACAACAGGACATGCTGCTTTCCCCTGCATGCTGTAACCCCCCTCTCTTCCCCACCACCAGACATTGACGAGTGTGCCCAGGGCTTGCACAACTGCAGCCAGCTCTGCACCAACACCCCTGGGGCATTTGCCTGCCACTGCCACCTGGGCTTCCACCCCCTTGATCCTGCTGCCAGCCAGTGCCTGGGTGAGTACCTGCAGGCAGCAGGGCCAGCAGCACCCCACGCTGCTACAGGGCACAGCCATGCTGCTGTAGGAGCAGGGATGCTATTTCCTGGGTGCCCTGTTGTGCTCATAGCCCTTGTCCCAGCCAACCCAAAACACGTGGGACAGAATGGACAGACTGTGGCTGTGCAGGAGTTGATGGAGTAAGGAGGCATCTGCCTCCCAGCAGCCTTGGGGACAAAGGGTGTCAGGACAAGAGCTGCACTGCTGTAGGCACTGGAGAGGCTTTCATGTCCCAGCTTCACCCTGCCCCAGGGCATCCCCTCCATGTCCCCTTGACGAGCCCTGTACCCTTGGCAAGCTCTGACCCTCTCCCCTTCCTTCCCAGATGTAGATGAGTGCCAGGCACAGCCTGGCCCCTGCGAACACATCTGCCACAACAGCCACGGCTCCTTCCACTGCCACTGCCACCATGGCTTCTCCCTGGGTGCGGGCGGGCGCTGCCAGCACAACTAGCCCACCCAGCACAGCCAAGTGCCCCCTGCTCGCCCCCTGCACCATGCCAGCTGCACCCAGTGCCAGCTGAATAAACCCCTTCCTGCACTGGTTTTCCTGCGGGTCACTGGAGCCCACAAATGCTACATGGGTCTCTCCCCACTCCCCCTGTGGACTGCTCCATCCCTCCTCCTTATTTCCCCCATGCTCACTCTCCTTATGAGGCTCTGTGCACCTTGGTGTGCTGGGGGATGCCCAGCCTGCCTCTGTGCCCCCCAGCATTGTCCCACTCCCCACTCTGACAGGACATGGGGCAGGCACAGTGAGGGATGAAGCCAGGGTTTATTGAGGAAGGTCTCCATGCAGCAGAGCCCCTGTGGGAATGCTAGGGCTAGGGCCACCCCACACATGCTCCATGACAGAGCCAAAGGGAGTCCCGGGGGGGGCAGGGTTTTCCCTCCAGGGTCCCAGGAGAGCAGTGCTGCCTCAGTTCATCCCTGCACCCAGGCAGGGACTCTTCTCCTCAGGGTGCTGGATATCACAGGGACCCTCCTATTCCCCACCATCTGACCTTGGCTAATGAATCCCCACACCTTGCAGCCAACCCCAGGTGCCCCTTGGGGTCCTCACTGCAGGCCAGGCTGAGAACTGGGGTGCTGCAGGTGCATGCAGGATTTGTGGGCAAGGGAAGGCTCAGCAGCAGGAGAGGAAGGGTTCTGGTGGAGCTGTGCTGTGCATGAGCCTTGCACAAGGGCAAGGGCCTGCCCAGCACTGTGCATCCCTGCCCTGGGCATGTGGCCTGGGGCTGGGAAGCTTTCTGGGTGCAGCTGGGGATGGCAGTGGGTCAGGCAGGGAGCAGAAGCAAATGCCCAGTGTCATGGGTAGTGCTGAAGGACAGTGCTGGCAAGGACACTGCTACCAGATGGGTGAGGGCACCCAGCCAGGGCTGGGAGCAGCAATGGACAGTGTGTGGGGCAGGGCTGGGGTGAATGCATGGCACCCTCATGCAGACAAAGCAGCACCAGGGCTCTGCCAGGCACACGGCATACAGCAGCTGAGCCTCCCCACAGTTCCAAGAGCAGGACACCCCAGGGAGGGGTGCAGCAAGGGCTGACAGTGCCCATGGGCTTAGGGAAAAGTGTGTGTGTCCCCCTTAGCACTGCCTGGGGTTTTACCAGTCCTGCTGCTCCCTGATGCATGACACACAGGGCGCTCTTTACACAGCTGGGCTATCTCCTTCACTTGGGGCAGAGGAAGCAACAGCGAGCACCCGGTGGGCTGCAGCAGCCCCTTGGCACCAGTTTCTCTCAGTGGGAAGCACCTGGGATGCACCAGCACCAGCCCCTGCCCACAGTGGGTCTGAGCAGGGGCAGAGCAGCTGTGGGGGACACAGAGCAGACCGGGGTAGGAGCCCCCAGCCTCCCCCTCCCACTCTCCCTGGCTCAGAAGCGGGTGCTCTGGTAGTGCAGCCTGCGGAGCTCGGACAGACCACTGTCCTGGCAGTACGAGTCCCTGCAGGGACCCCCTGCCAGTCACCGGCCCCCTGCCCCACCACCCCCCCCACTGCTGCTGCTGCTGGAGCTGCCACTGCTGGAACTGCCGCTGCTGCACCGGTCCTCGTAGATGGAGATCTCAATCTGGGCCCTGCTAAGGATCATTGGTGAGATAGGCAAGACCGATGGCCCAGCACACACTGCAGCGTCCCCCACCCCTCGCCCTTGTCATCCCCCAGCATCCTGCTGCCCAGAGGATACGACCCTCATGCCACGCTCCAGGGGATCAGTGAGCAGCAGCCCCCGTGGTGCATAGATCTTCTCGTTCTGGTCCTGGATGTACTTGGAGATCTTCTTCAGGACCTGTCAGCACACGAAGGGACACTCAGGGCCTGCCAGCACCTCTGCCTGCTCTACCCTCCAGCCCCCCTGCTCCCTGTGCCCACCGCCACGCCTGCAGCCGTGCCCGTCCCTGGGACCTCCCCTGGACCTCAGCACCTTCTCGTAGTGCGTCTCCATGCAGAGGAAGATGAAATAGGCAGTGGCACAGGCCAGGCACCCCTCCAGGTAGGAGCTGCCCCCAATCTTCTCTGCCTCAGCATAGAAGCCATTAAGGGTTTTCACTGTTTCCTCAAAGAGTTGCCGCTCGATCTAGAGCACAAACCAGGGTGAAGAGGAGTGGTCAGAGGCTGACCCCAGCACTGCCCTGTCCCCATCCCCAAGGGGAACTGGGGAGCTTAAAACACCACCCAGCTGATGCCTCAGCTCCCTGGCCTCTACCCGCCTTCCGCCCTTCACCAGAGCCTCATGGTTCCCAGGAGCACCCAAGCCCTTGCAGACAGGACAAGGTGGCTCTGATTGCGTGCACCTAGCAGCATCAGCTGGCCCAGGGCCATACAACAAACATCCTGTGGAGACCCCATGCCCTCAGACCACTCTCCCCACCAAGTCCCAGTAGGGCACCAGCATAGGGCACCCTGCACCTTGTTAGCCTGCCTTGCTCCCTACCCGGCTCTCCAGCTCAGGGGGGAACTTTGTCTGGAACTGGCAGGTGGTCCCATCGCTGTAATCCCTCTGCACAAAGACCTTGGTGGCCAGAGATGCACTGCGCCGCAGCTCCTGCAGGCTGTGAACCTGGGGAGGTCATCAGGGTGAGGCCGGGGACTGCAGCCATGGGGTGCTAGGCATCCCTGCTGAGGGGCAGCGCCATTCCCCCAGTGTCAGGGGCTGCAGGCTCACACACCCCCAGGCAGGGAGCCTGCAGCACGGGCTGCGTCACGCTGTGAGCACAGCTCAGTCCTGGAGGTGCGAGGCCAGGGGTGAGGGCAGGATGGTGGCAAAGGGAGGATGCCATGGCGGCCCCTCACTTGGAGCATGGGCAAGCACATGTGCTCCCTGCTGGTGCCTGGCCTCGCCTGCACCGGCTGCTGCACGCATGGGTGTGTGTCCTCTGGTGGGCCACGGCCCGGGGAGGGGGCAGCCCCCTGTCCCCAGCACACCGCCCCGCAGCAGCTCCCAGGCAGGAGTGGGAGCGAGCCGGGCAGGAGCAGGGACTGGCAGCGGGGCTGCAGCAACAGCAGCAGCGCGGCGGATGGGCAGCCCCGGCGGCAGGCGCTCAGCCCAGCCCCTGCACCCCACGGGGTACTGAGGGCCCACGCCGGCCCCCGGGGCAGTTTTGAGCAGCTGGAGGCGGGGAAGCAGGGGCCAGGTTGTGCCAAGGGCGCGTCTCAGACCCCACCCTGTGCTTTCCTTTAGCTGACATGGGCCCACCCCCTGCTGTGTGCCCCACACACGCTCTGTCCCTGTCAAGGGTCCTACCCACGGCACATGAGAGAGGGACCCTCAACCCCACAGTCCCCCCTTTTCCCGGGATACCCCACCCAGACCCACCTGCTCCCTCCAGCAAGGGCACCCTTCACACCCTTCACCCACACCGCACCCCCATCCCTCCGGACACCCCACATACACACTGGCCTTTCTGTGCACACAGACCACGCACCCTCCCAGCCCCACACCACCCCCCAGCGCAGCCCACTCCAACCCCAGCCCCGGCGCTGCCCCCCAGCACAAGCGCATCCCATGTTGCCCTCTTTCCCCAGTGGCTGCGGGCACGGCAGGGCAGAGCGGGGAGGCTCCGCCGCAGCCCAGCACCGGGAGCGCCCGCTGCCGGGGTGGTCCCCGCCCGCTTGCGGCCGCGCACCCACCTCCGTGGCCATGGCGCGGGGGGGCCCGGGCCGGGCTGGGCTGCGCCGGGGGAACCGGCGCTGTCACCGGGGCCGTGCCGGGCGGCGCGGCGGGACTGGCGCTGTCCGCGGTGCTGCCGTGCCGAGCGGCGGAGGCGGGCCCTGCCGCCCCGTGTGCGCAGCCGCCCGGCCCGCCACGTCCCGCCCCGAGGCGCCGGGGATGGGCGCTAGCCGCTACCGGCACGGAGCCCCTGGAGTACGCGGCCCAGCTGCTTGGGACAGCGGTACCGGGGTCCGGCTCCCCTAGCTGGGAGCTCGAGGACGGGAACTGCTGCTCTATGTCCCGGGGGTCCGGCCGGCACTGCGGCAACTGAGGCCCGGCTGCCGAGAGGATGCGGCTGTAGGTCCCTTGGGGGAAGGGCTGGGGTAATGGGGGCCCTGGGCGGCCAGGGGGCTGGCCCGGTGGAGACCCGGGAGGCCCGCAGTGGGGCTGGCAGCCAGCCGTGCCAAGAAGCCTCGTCTGAAGCTGTTTGTTTGCAACGGATTTGCAGCTGGCACTGAGCTCTGGAGCGGGAGCTGCGATTGCAGTGCGGACAGACATCAAAGAGCAGAGCTAACGAATTCCCTGTTATCTCTGCCTATTGACAGCTCAATTAGAGCCAGAGAAATGCCAAACAGGGGGAACAGAGGCTCTCCTGAGAGGGGAAGGGGGGGGTGCTCACAGCTGGGTCCATGGTGAAGCAGGAGGGATGCAGTGGCTGGGCACAGGGCCCTCATCGTGCGGGAGAGCAGCCAGCCCTTCCCTCAACACCTGGGCGCTGCTGGAGGCAGTGTGGGGCCCTGCCAGCATGTCTGCCCAGGATGCTAACACAACACACAAGGACCCTGATGAAACAGCGTCTTCTGACTCCTGCTCCCTGCCCTGAGCACCAGCACAGGCTTCGGGCAGAGCAAACAAAGGCAGAGCCCTGGGGAGGCTGGTGGGCAGCCCCAGTACACTGGAGTGTAGCAGGGTTTGTGACCAAGGGACAAAAGCACACATTCAGGCAGGGATCCAAGTCAGAGGGCTCATCTTCCCACAGACAAAGCTACGGATCCCATCGCTTTCAGAGGAACCTGCTGCTCCCGTGGTTCAGAGCAGCCCTGCCAGCACACACCACGCAGCAGTGGGGTACACCCTGCCCAGAGAGTGCCACAGGAGCCAAAGGAGTCCCCTTGGGGCAGGGTTGAACTCTCCCGTGTGTACACACGTGCATACACACAGATGAAGGTATTGGTGCATACACACAGATGAAGGTATTGGTGCATACACTGCCTGCCCACACCTGCCTGCACCCCCCACGTGCACCCAGGCACACATCCATGTGCTCACACACTCGAGCGTGTCCCCGCATGCCCCCAAGCCCAGGCCCTTCATTCCAGCTCCTTCCCATGTTGTGTGTCACCAGCACGTCAGGACTCCCTGCCCGCCTGGCAAGGCCCTGCCAGTTGCCATGGCAATGCTGTGCCTAACGGGAGATGAAGTTTGCTCTCCACTCTGCAGCAAGGGGCCAAGAGCAGCCGGGGGTACGCTGACACCCCAGCTCTGCCCAGCTGCCCTGCCCTGCTGCCCAAGGCATGGCTCTTCTCTGGCTGCACCAGCTCAGCCCAAGATCCAGACCCTCAGTTCTGGGCTCCTGCTGCCTCACAAGCCATGGACCTGCTGTCTGCATCCCCAGAGCATGTGTCCTTTGGTGGGACATCTTCACCCCACCATGGGCAGCCACCTTCTGCCAGCCACGTGACCCAGGAGCAAGCCTTGCCCAGTGTCAGGAAGGACTTGGACAGCCTGGACCTGGTCCACAACGCTCATCACTGCACAGCCCCTGGCCCTTCCTGTGGTGCCTGCAGCATCTCCAGAGCCTACCAGGACCTGACAGCCCCTCCATGCAGGATACACCTTCATGGGCTTTCCAGTTTTAACCAGAGCACGGACAGACCCTGTTGGTTTCCATTCAGAGTGGACAGGTTGCTGTCTGTGCCACAACATGCCATGCCCATGGACCCACAGAACAGGCATGGGGCATACTTGGGGCCCCTATGGCCAGCCCCACAGAACCAGTGTGCCTGTATCCCTCACACTCAGTCATCCATGCCCAGCAGTGCCCCTGGTCCAGCCCCTGCACCTGGCTCCCAGGTCAGGACCAGAGGACATCCTCAAAATGTCCCCAGGAGCATAGTGCTGTACCCCATCCCAGCACCCCAACCATCCCTGGAGTCCCAGCATGGTGCCTGAGGGCTATGGAGCCCTGCAACGAGCCCGGGACCGACCCCTGGGGTCCCATCCTCCACCCGCTGCATGTCAAGCCCCCTCCCAAGCCTTTCAGTGGCTCTGGCTCCACTTCAAAGGGGCCATGGCAGGGCCAGGTCCTGGCAGCTACTTCACAGGGCATGGGGGGGAGCTTTCATTAATGGGAGGGAGCATGAGCTCACCACCCCGGCGAGGACAACAGTGACATTTGGGAGGCACACAGACAAAGCAGGGCAGGGTGATCAGCTGATAACCTTTCCTGGGAGAAGCCAGGTGTGTACACCAGCAGGGGGGGGGAACATCTCCCACACAGGGAGCCTCTGAAAACAGCACTTAGTGCCCCAGCCTGCTCCTTCAACAGGACAAGGAGAGTACCCCAAGGTGATTCTGCAGCCCGGGCACCCTGAAGTGCTGAGTGGCACCTGCAGCACTGCCACATCCATCTGTGTCCATCCCAATTGGTGGTGACAGGACCCCATTGCACCGGGATCCCCATAGGGCAGACCCCAGCAGCCCCCACAGGAATGCGTGGGGGGACACAGCATCCCGCAAGCAAAGGGGGATGAGGTTTCAGAGCACAGTGCCAAGGTCCAGCTTTGGCAAAGATGGCAGGTGGGAGCCGAGGCTCTGCAGGGGCTGCCCCCACCCGGGAGGGAGCTGTGCTGGGAGCAGACACGGGTGGCTTTTCCCACCGTCCTGGTGGAGCACAGGGGTGAGAGGCGACCCCAAGCGGGATGTGCCCCTTTCCTGCCCCGCTGGGGGCCAGGCCGGGGGGTGCCGGCAGCGAGCAGGGGGTCTGTGTGCGGGAGGGGCCGGGACTGCGCCGGGGCTGCCATTCCCCGCATCTGGGCCGGGAGCGCTGCCAGCCGCATTCCTGGGGCTTCCTCGCCAGCGGGAGCCTGTGTGGGTGCAGGGTGAGTGCACGGACACCGCCGCCCTGCCCGCCCCACCGCCACCACGGACCCGGCAGAGCTCGACCCCATCGAGCCCCTCCCAGTTGTGCCCCAGCCTCCCCCAAGGCTGGGGGCACATCCCTGAGGTCTGTGTCCCTGCATAGCTGGCCCTGGCATGCTGTCCCGTCTCCTCACCGAGGGTCCCTGCTCTGCAGTGGGGGCATACTAAGCCCAGCAGTGATGCAGCCTAGGAGTCCCAGGAGCATGGAATGGGGTTGGAACAGGGAGAACGAAAGGATGGGAGAGACAAGAGGAGGGGGAGGACTGGAGAATGGAAGCAGGGAGGGAGCCCACATAGTCCACCCAGCCCACCCGGGCCCTTGGGATGCATCTCTGCCTGCAGAAACAAGGTTTGCAGTGCACAAAGCTGCAGTGGGAGAGGGAACTGGGACATGATGGAAACAGCCAGCTAGGGCTCTGCTCAACGCCTCATTTCCCAGGAGCCTCCATCTCCCCTGGCTGCCGGGGCAGCACAGATCTGCCCTGGGCTACAGCCAGGCACAGGTCCCTGGGGAGGGCCCAAAGTGGCGAGGGGGCACCCCCTGCGGATGTCCTTACCATGCCATCCTGGCTGGCCGTCCCCGAGGTCCACACTGCAGAGGGTGCAGCCCCCATGGTCCTGCTTCCGGCCTCGCTGCTGTGAAAGGTGACACAGGCGGTGACACAGCCAGCTCCCCGGAGTGACAGGCACAAGTGTCAGTCTCCCAGCCGGCTGCGCGGATGCAGGATGGGGATGCGGGCACTGGAGCAGCCTGCGCAGAGAGGACACAGGGAAAGGTGCCAGCTCCAGCTACCCTCTGACCATCCCCACCCCAAGTGTGCACCTCAGACCTACCTCCCCTGGGCCATCCTTGGTGGCAAAGGGTTAAGGAAGCAGTGGGGGTGCAGCAGAAACCCCTCAGAGCAGAGACACAGTCTCAGCTTGGTGACAAGTATGCCAGGACACATGGCAGGGTGGGAGCAGAGGGTGAACATCCCTCTCCTGGGGCCAGCCATGCTCCCCGCAGCACGGCCATGCTGCCAGGAAGTGACTCAGTGGCTCTACTGAAAACATCGTTACAGATAGGGGGGCAGGCAAGCTGGCAGGGAGCCCCTCACTCCCTCTCAGACCCCTCACCTTCATCCCTTCATCTGGTGGGGTGCCAGCTGGCACAGGGTGCTCAGCACCCCAGCACCTTCCTGGGACAGACTGTAGCTTCTGGGGGCTGCACAGGGTGGCTGGGGTAGGCTAAGAGGCAGGACCTGGTCCATGGCCAAAAGCATGACAGCAGCAGTGTTGGCAATGCTGTGGGGACAGTGCGGGGACAGAGCAAGGTGTGTTTGGCATCCTGCACACCGGCAGCTCCATCCCATACACGCAGGCTCCCTCTGCCTCCACCTCTCAGCCTCGCCAGCCCCTTCCCAGCCCAGATCCCATGGCAATTACACCCTGCCCAAGCCCATCCATCACAGATTAGCTATTTTCTATCGGCATTTATCTCCAGGCAATCTCACTCCTGCCGTGACAGCCTGATGCTTCCAGCACCCTCCTTCCTGCTACCGGGCAGCCTTGATAAAGGGCAGCTCTATCTTATCGTGCTCCCCTGCAGTTACACATTAATGGTGCCATCTCCGGGGCTTGGCTGGGGTGGGATGAGCTCAGCCCACTCCCGGGCTGGCAGCAAGCATCACTGGGCAATGCAGTAACGGGCACTGTGCCCAGCATGGAGGGCAGGGGCAAGCTGCAGGCAAGCGCAGGTTGTGTGGGTGAGGTTCCCAGCACAGTCCCAGTGCAGATGGATCCCACCAGGGTTGGGGGAAGTGCCCCTGCCCCCAGCCCGGGGCAAAGGGCAGCTGCTATCACTGTCTGCACCGGGCTGTTTGCTCTGTCGCCCATTAACAGAGCTGCCTTATCCAGCAGGCAGGGGCCAGAGGTGGCCCAGAGCTCG